CTCTAGGTGCTAGTGACCTGGCCACGGATGGGCCGTCACCTGGCCGCGTTCACCCGTCGGCACGGATGGGCCGAGTCTGTACACACTGACTACTGAGCCTCCTCAGGTAGCTGCGCCTGGTCAGGTGTCCGCGTCAGGTCCGGTAGCAGCCCCCTGCTCGTGTCGCCTCCTGTCACACCAGACTCTCCTTTGGCACCACCGCCTTGGTCACCCCACCAGACTCTCCTTTGGCACCCCTGCCTTTGTGGCATGCACTCCCGCCTCCTTGTTTCTGGTCTTCCCAGGTATGTGCCTCCCCTCCCGCCCTCGCCTGCCGCGCCCTGCCTTCCTTGCGTCGAGGGGCGGCAGCGCGCCACTCCTCACTCCTCCTCGTTTCGCCCGACGACTGCTCCCCTGCAGACTCTCCACATGGACGTGTGGGGCCCAGCCCGCGTCAGTGGACAGGGCCGCGAGCGCTACTTTTTGCTGGTTGTTGACGACTACATGCGTTACACCACGGTCTTCCCCTTGCGCAGCAAGGGTGAGGTCCCTGATGTCTTGAACCCTTGGATCCCTTGGAGCTGGGGACCCTGGAGCTGGAGTCACTGGAGCTGGAGACCCTGGAGCTGGAGGTACTCGAGCTGGAGACCCTGGAGCTGGAGGCGCTGGCGCTGGAGGCGCAGGAGCTGGAAGAGCTGGAGCTGGGGACCCTGGAGCTGCAGGCGCTGGAGCTGGAGGCACTGGAGCTGGAGACCCTGGAGCTGGAGACACTGGAGCTAAAGACCCTGGAGCTGGAGGCGCTGGCGCTGGAGGCGCTGGAGCTGGAGGACCTGGAGCTGGAGGCACTGGAGCTGGAGGCGCTTGAGCTGGAGGCACTGGCGCTGGAGGTGCTGGAACTGGAGGAGCTGGAGCTGGAGGCGCTAGAGCTAGAGACCTTGGAGCTGGAGGTGTTGGCGCTGGGGGTGCTGGAGCTGGCGGTACTAGTGCTGGAGGCACTGTGCAACGGCGACCGTTTTTTGTTCCACCGCCGCACTCGTCTCTGCCGCCACCTGGCTCGGTCCTTCGCCAGGTTCTTAGTCTCCCGTCTTCTACTGGCCTTACTCCTCGCTTACTGTTTCCACCGCTTCACCAATCGCAGCCACAGTTACAGCCAGACTCCCCACTGCCTGCTCCTTCTCCTTACGCTGAGAAGACAAACACCTTACACAGCGTCGTGAGCCTGCATCTCGTCCTGCCTCGCCTGTCCGCGCTGTTCGCACTGGTTGTCATGTTCCTCGTCCGCGTCCTCCTCCTGTCCCCGGCACTCACATTATGGCACTTCGTCCTTCCTCTGTTCCACTGCGAGTTCCCCTGCCGTATCCTCTTGCAACCTCTCTTGCTCACAGTCCGGACCCTGAGTCTGACTTAGTTTGTGCTGCCAGTCCTACTGTCACACGTCTTTTAGCCACTTAGTCACTGACCCTTCGTTTGAGTCCGCTGCTGCGTCTTCCCTAGTTGGTGAGCTTGTTGACTTTGCTGCCGCCTGTCGTCTCGACTACGCATCTTGTCTTATTGCTAAGTCTGAGTCTGACTGTCCTCCGTCCGTCGGGGGTGAGTGTGCTCTTGGCACGGACGTCCTTGAGGATAGGCAAGAGGACTTTGAGTGTCTTGCAGCTGCTGTACCTCATCTCGTGGCCATGCTGCTTGCACCTGAGGGAGACCCGGATGCACCAGACATCCCGACCCCGCACTCCTACGCAGAGGCGATTACGGGTCCCTACTCCTCTCAGTGGCAGACAGCCATGGACGTAGAGATGGCATCCTGGAAGTCCACAGGCACCTACGTCGACGCGGTTCCCCCTCCTGGGGCGAACGTAGTCGATGGCATATGGATTTTCAGGGTGAAGTGACTGCCGGGTTCTCTGCCTGTCTTCAAGGCTCGTTACGTTGCACGAGGCTTTAGTCAACGACAGGGAGTTGACTTCTTCCATACCTTCTCCCCTACCCCAAGGATGACCACTCTTTGGGTGTTGCTGCACGTCGCCGCTCAGCGTGACTACGAGCTTCACTCTCTTGACTTCAACACAGCTTTCTTACAGGGCAGCCTGCACGAGAAGATCTGGCTGCGCCGCCCACCTGGTTTCACTGGGTCGTTTCCTGCAGGTACCCAGTGGAGCCTCCGGCGTCCAGTCTACGCTCTCTACCAGGCACCTCGCAAGTGGCACGACACACAGAAGACGATGCTTGCGGCTCTTGGGTTTGCTCCTTCGACTTCTGACCCGTCGCTGTTTCTACGCACCGACACTTCGTTGCTGCCGTTATACATCCTCGTGTACGTCGACGACTTGGTTTTTGCCATTGCTGACACTGAGGCACTGGCCCTTGTGAAGTCGGAGTTTTAGAAGAGACACTCCTGCACTGACCTGGGTGAGCTGCGCAGCTATCTTAGCTTGCAGATCACCCAGGACAGAGCACGGCGCACCATCACCCTGACTCAGTCACACATGGTGCACCAGGTCCTTCAGCGCTTCGGCTTCCGGTACTCCTCGCCACAGTCCACTCCTGTGCCTACCAGTCACTCGCTCTCAGCTCCACCTTCGGACGAGTCCGTAGAGTCGAGTGGCCCGTATTTAGAGCTTGTGGGCTGCCTCATGTACTTGATGACCTGCACTCGACCTGACCTTGCCTACCCTCTTAGCATCCTGGCATGCTACGTTGCACCCGGGAGACACCGACAAGAGCACTAGGAGGCCGTTGAGAGGGTGTTGCGCTACTTGTGCAGTACATCGGGCATGGGGCTCGTGCTTGGAGGACGGAGTCCAGTTGTCCTCACTGGACACGCAGACGCGTCTTGGGTTGACGACTTGGTTACGTAGCGGTCGTCACAGGGTTACACCTTCAGCCTTGGCTCCATCTCTGTTTCTTGGCGGTCTACCCGCTCGTCTTCTGTTTTAGGTTCCAGTTGTGAGGCTGAGATCTACGCAGGGGCCATGGCTGCACAGGAGTTACGCTGGCTCACCTATTTGCTGACCTACTTGGGAGAGCGGCCTCTTTCTCCTCCAGTTGTGTACGTAGACAACAAGGTCATGATTGCCTTGTGTCAGGAGCACAGACTGGAGCACAGAACGAAGCACATCGCTGTGCCTTACTTCCTTGCTCGAGAGTTGCAGCAGCGTGGTCAGCTTCGTCTTGCTTACGTGGCCATTTGGGCCAACACTGCTGATACATTCACCAAGGCAGTTCAGGCCTTGTGCATACTTTGCCTCGCTTGCTCACTGCGTGACTTTGCTTGTACTGTGATCTATCTACATATACCTGCATGCTTACCCCTGCTAGGTTATGATTACTGTACTATTTGTTCTCATTTATATAATTCTGGCCTTGTGGCCATTTGCTTGTGCTCAGAGTGTGTGGTGACTTAATGATCCACCCTGAGATTGCTTTGCCTTTTCTTGACTGGTCTTGTGACCGCCTGTTCTCCCCCACTTTGTCTATGGGGGTGTGTATAATGTTTATATTGTGTAGGCTGTAGTGGGGTAGCCCATAAGGGGTACAACCCAATTAGGGTTAGTACTTGTACCATCTTTCTTTTCAATTCAATCATTCTCTCGTCTAGTTTCTGACAAGCAGTACACTATGATGCTTTTCAATAACACTAACCACGGAGCAGGAAGCCATTCCATCCTGCATCTGCAAGTCGCACTGCATGGTATGGCGCTGCACCGAGGCCAGCCAACACATGCCTGCATGCCAATCACACGTGAAAGAGAAGCAAAGCACCCAATAGATCCGCACCTAACAAGACACCCAACCGAGCCCACCCAGAATCACAACACAACCAAAGCAAAGCACTTCATGGCCACTCATCCAAGCACCTGATTCTTCTGAAGCAGCAACTCATCCAAGCCAGCAACCCAATGGCCAGAGCACACAGCAAGCCAGTGAGCACAGACTCCTCCTCATCACACTCGCAGCAAGCAAGTCTCCCCTCATGAGGCAGCCAGCTTCTTGCTGTCATTCTTTCTTTTGAACACCACAAACACCAGCAGCTAGTTGCTGTCATAGCAGAAAAACACCCCCAGCAAGGATCCACTCCGTTGCACTCCCAGCAGCATCCACGTATCGGCCAGGAGGGCCCATTCACAAGGCAACCAGCTAGTTGTCATAATTGAGGAACACTCCCAGCACGGGCCCACTCCACTGCTCTCCCCAGCACCACCCTCTCAACACAAGCCCCCCTCAGAAAACCATAGCCAGGCAGCTAGTTGTCATAATAGAGGAACACCCCCAGCACGGGCCCACTCCACTGCTCTCCGGTTTCGCTGTTGGCCACAATGAGAGAGAGTGACGAGGGAGGGGCGGCGATATACGGTGGGGTTACTGGCATGAAGTTGCTGCTGCTGTCGTTGTTGTCGCTGCCATCATCGTTATAATCACTGCCGCTACTGTCACCGCTGTTGTCACTGTCCTGGTCGTTATAGTCACTGCTGTTGTCGTCGCTGCTGCTGCTGTCCTCACTGCTGGTGCTGTCGTCACTCCCATCGTCGCCACTGAGATCGTCACTGTCCTCATTGTTCTCGTTGTCATCACTCCCATCATTACCACTGCTAGCATCACTACTATAGTCACTGCTGCTGCTGTCATCGCTGTCCTCATTGTCAGCACCGTCATTGCTGCCATCATCGTTATAATCACTGCTGCTATTGTCACTGCTGTCACTATCGTCACTCCCGACCTTGGCACTGAGATCGTCACTGTCCTCATTGTTCTCGTTGTCATCACTCCCATCGTTAACATCATCATTGCTGCTGCTGTCATCATTGCTGCTGCTGTCATCATTGCTGTTGTTGTCATCATTGCTGCTGCTGCTGTCACTGCTGCTGCTGTCGCCGCTGCTGCTGAGATCGTCACTGTCCTCATTGTTCTCGCTGTCATCGCTCCCATCGTTATTGTCACCAGTGCCATCCTCCCTCTCCTCCTCCCTCTGCTCCCCCCTTTTCTCCTCACTCCCCTCATCCACACTCTTAACCGCAAACAGGCTCTTAAACCATGCATCTGCTGTCTCCCACAATCCCCTCCCCCGCTGCCCCACCCTCTTCCCCACACTGCCACTACTCACACCAAACCTCCTCCCATAACCATATCCGTTACCGTTACCATTTCCGTTGCCGTTGCCAGGACCATAACCCTGGCCCCATCCCCTCACACCATTCGCCCAATCCTCTGGTACAGTAGCATTGGGAACGCTGGCCAGAATATCCTCGATAGTAGCAGCATCGACATCCTCTAAGGTGTCAAAGAGCCGAGCTACAGTAACGGTGGTGTGGAGGCCCCACCTGGCGGGGCCACCCGTTGAGTTGGCGAGCTCCCATTCGTCGGCGGCAACAGGGAAAGAGAAGAGGGTGGGGGCGGAACTGTTGCAGCTGGTGCTGCTCTTAACGAGTGTGATTGTATCGGGGACGGAGGATGCGGAGGTGATGTTACGGATAATTACGGTGTAATGGAGGTTGAAATGGCCAGTGGCATTCCTGGTGGAGTGGGAGAGAGGGACAAAAGCGAATCAAAATATTTGGTGACCTGGCTGTAAAACGAATGTCAATTCAGTATATGAAACACTCCCCTTGCCATCATGGGATGCTGCTGGCAACAGTTGTAATGTGCACATGCATGAACTATAGTGAAATGGAAAAACTAGGCATTACTTATTAGTGAACACAAAGCTGAAAACCAGTTTAAGTGAAAGAAAGAGAAGTTTCTCACTTGAAGATGGAGAGGAAGAAGGAGCCTCCGGAGAGCAGCGGAGCATCAGAAGAGCAGCTGGAGAGGGATGCTCTCCCCCGACCTGTTATAAGCACAAACACATAAAAGCACAATCACATACGAAACAAAATCACATAAAAGCGCACAACAACGATTGTAAGCACTCATTGTCACACCCAACACCACATGGGAAAACAGTCGGCGACCCCCCCCAAAAAGAATTCTGTCCCCCGAGAGTCTTACCTGTCATGTTCCCGAGGGCAGGGTCCGCAGCGCCACACGCGAATCCTCCCCCTCTGCTGCTGTTGACCCACGGGTTACCACCCCCGCTCCCACTCACGCACGGCCCAGATCCGTTGCAGCAGGGTGTGGAGCCATCCGAGCCGTTCACACACGGACCCATGCCAGAACCGTTACTGTATCCGTTCCCGTTTCCGTTTCCGTAACCACCGCCAAAACCACCTCCAGCGCCAGGGCCATACCCACTGCCGTTTCCGCTCCTGCAAGGCCATGTGGTGCTGTTAAATGCCTCCACGTCATCCTCGTCCCACCACCACGGACCGTTACCCCGGCCGAATCCCCCGCCCCTCCCAAACCCGCCTCTTCCAAACCCTCCCCTTCCGCATCCAGATCCGTTATTGCAAGCTCCCGTTCCGTTAAAGCACGGGCCTGTTCCGTTAACACACGGAGCAGTGCCGTTTTCATCCAGCCACCACGGACCCCCGAAACCCCAGCCAGGTCCATCCCCGTTATAGCACGGCCCGGTTCCGTTCAAGCAGGGCGGCGCTGTAGCGTTCTCGTCCAGCCACCACGGCCCCCATCGGCCCGTCGCGTTGAAGCAAGGGCTGCTTTCGTTCCAGCACGGATGACTCTCGTCCGTCGCGTTCGTATCCAGCCACCACGGCCCTCCAAATCGACCCGCTCCGTTACCGAAAGGCGGTCCAGGAAAATCACTACTAGAAGACTCGTCGTCGTCGTCCCACCAAGGACCGTTGCCGCCGCCTCGACCAGGTCCATAGCCACCACCTCCCTGACACGGCCTGCCAGTACCGTTGCCGCCAGTTCCGTTCATGCAAGGCTTGGACTCATCTCCGTTATAGCATGGCCCAGTTCCGTTCAAGCACGGCGCTGTGGCGTTCTCGTCTAACCACCACGGGCCCGCACCCCAGCCGCCTGATTCGTTATAGCACGGCCCGGTTCCGTTTAGGCACGGCGCTGTAGTAGCGTTCTCGTCTAACCACCAGGGTCCCCAGCCGTCCGTTATGTTGTGACACGGCCCAGATTCGTTGAAGCACACATGAGTCCCGTTGAAGAAACGAGGCCCGTTCGTGCTGCCGTTACCGTTACCGTCATCGGCCCACCAAGGTCCTGGGCCGAACCCAGCACCAGCACCAGCGCCGCCACCGCTGCCGCCGTTCCCGCTCCCGTTGCCAACTCCAGGGGCGTAATAGTCGTCACTTCCACTGCTGTCATCGCTGCCACTACGGTTGTCGCTGCTGTAGTCGCCGCTGTTGTCGCTTTCGGCAGCATAATCGTAGGCGTAACCATTACCGCTGCTACCACCGCCCCCCTGACCGTTACCGCCGCCGCCTTGACCGCCGTTGCCCCATCCGTCGCCCCCAGGCCCGCGACGAGCCAAGACTGCAGACGAGTAGAGAGAGAGGGAGGGACGACGGGGAAGTAGAGGGGGCGAGAGGGAGGATGCAGGGCGTTGAGACAACTGTACGGTTCAGAGGCGTTCTGAAACGGACACCGAAACCAGCGCCGTACCTGGTGACACGAGGAGCAGTGCGGCGCAGAGGAACGCGACCCAGTGGCGCGCCATTCTTGAGCCGGGATGCGCTTCGAGGAACCAACTCGCTCCGCGTGAGTCACTCCGTCAGTCACACCAGTATCAACTTGATCGTAAGTCGAAATGGTCCTTTTAAGCTTCGAACGGACAGAGATGGTACTTAACAACTCGCGAGCGAGACACGTGTCGCCCGGGCTGGCCGACGCTAGCAGCCGCTACTTTGTGTCACGATATGGACGAGCGGATGGCGAACGAACGAACGACGACCGGATGAGAAACGCGGAATGACTATGGAACAGCTCAAGATCGAGAGTAGTCAATCATCTGCGGGTATCTCTCTCTGGGACAAGCGGAAGAATTCGTGGGCTCTTGTATCGATCGACTCGAATTCGTGAGAGTTGGGCTCTCGGCACCGGGCTTTATATACTTGCTTCTGAATACGGCGTCTACGGGGAATACAACCACCCACCCACGCATCGCGGGCGGAAGAGTCAGGTGTAGCAGTACTGTGGTGGTTCGTATAGGCGCTTACGCCGCCGCCGCCTCTCGCTTACCGTGACGAGGGATGATGGCTCATCTAGGAGGGGCGCAGCGGGAATCCCCCTCCCCATTTCCCCTTTCCGCCATATCCCCTCCCCCCACCTCCCACCACTGGCAACGCCTGTTTCTTGCGATTAGGAACCTTCGCGGGAAAGTAATGTGAGGCCCTAAGCGCTTAGTCAACGCGAAATTTCATCGTGAGGCGGTTCGCGACGGTCTCGTACGACAGGTCTCAGATCTGGCGACTGCGAAAAAAGGTTTAGCGAAAGGTTCCGCTCCGCATCTACGGCTGCCGGGGATGAGTAAAAATGGCTCTCCGCGAGAGAGATTTGTGATGGGAGGGAGGGAACGACCGGCAGCGATGGCCTCTTGTTCAACGCGAAATTTCATCGAGAGGCGGCGTGCGACGTCCAGTGCGCCCAGAATCGACTGGTCCCAGAATCGACCTCTGCTTCGCAAGAAACGTCCCGAACGCATCAAATCAAACTCCGAAGAAAAAGTATTCGCGAGCCGACGTGGCAGCCCTACGACCAATGCGAGCAGGTTTTTCTACGAGGCTACCCAATCGCCATCTATTTCGCGCTGCTGTGCTGTTTGAATGGCCACCGCCCTGGCCTGGTTGTAACCTTTTAGCCTGAACCTTCTGGAGAAAGCACATGCAAAAGACAGGCACACCTCAGCCCCGCATGCAACCCCCAACCACGCGCCCACCATTTTTGCTAAGGGCAACTCAGCAGAGAGAGTGCATCATCGCTAGGCAGTAGGAGAAGGCCCAAATTCATGATGAGCCTGCGTTGCACCATTCACGATGTACGACGAATTCTATCAGTCTTTCGTTCATTGTCGTACGAGAAGTGACGACTGAAGCGAAATTGCCTCCAGGAGCGACTAGATCATTTGGGGGATGTTGGTCTGCGCGATGCATGTGATTGGGTACGAACCGCATCTAGCTAGAGCATGCCCGAAGAAATTGACCGCAACAAGGCTGGAGCAGCGCCAGTCGGGGAAATGACGGAGCGCCGTGTTTTCTAGTTCCCGAATCCAATAAGCAGTGGTTTTGACAGCGCATTGCTCCGCGCTCGCGCTCAAAACCTTGGGGCATATTATTTATCCGTTTCCCCTTTTGAGCCTACAATAAAGATTGTTTTTATGTTACGGGATATTATAAATGTATTCGTCGAGTCCATAGCAAGCGCGCAGCTCGGGACAAAAACTAAAAACCCTCATGGATGGTATGCCACGTAGAGGGCATCAACCCTGAACACCATGAGGCAAGGTGTTTAGGGTTGATGCCTCCCAAATGGCCTGTCATCCGAGTAGGTTTTAGTTTTTCCACTGGCCTCTATACTGAAACCAGGTAGACTTAGTATTTACCCTTCTATACGTCTGGTCACGAAAAATCGGAAATAGCGGTATAAACTGCCCGCGGGTATTGGGCGTGAGCGCGGAGAGAGTCGCTGTCAAAGCCACTGCTGAAAAGAATAAAAAACGCGCAAACACGGCGGTCCGTCATTTCCTCGCGCCAGTCATTCCATCAGCTGCCAGGCGTGCCGAGCCGCGCTTGTCGGACAGGCTGGCGCAAGCACGCGGCCCGACTTGGCACAGCAGCAGACCAATTTTCATGGAACCGAAGGTTCTGACGAAAGCGGTGTATAGAGGAGTGTTACATTCGAGGGTCACATTTCATATGGACTATTTCTCCATTTTGCTAACCAGACTTTGTGTGGTTACCACAAGAGTACAAGTCGAGAAATTACTTGCTTAGCGAGGCTTTCATTGTCGAGCACCTGGGCTTCGGTTGTGAAAAGCTGTGCGTGACAACCGCGGCACGACTTTCGGGCGGGGTTTACCACAGGATTCAGGGCTGCGTCCCAATTCCGAGCCGTCAGACCCACTGATGCCTGCGAACCGCGCGAGGGTAACGAATGCGTCAGTCAAGGGATGCTATGGGGCGAAGCGAAGCCAAGGTGCTTGCTTGGGTCCTCCAAACCTCATATATACCAACGAAGTCTTGCAACCAACGGCTAACCTAACCAAGGACAGGATTATCGAACCACACCATACGCGGTTCGCGCCAAGGCTTTTGTTCTCATCCAGCCCCTCAAATTTAACCTCATGTTTTACATGACGTGTCTACAGTCATTACAAATTTCAGAACTCATCAGCAGGCTAAGCGATTTTATCTTGCAAGTGAAGAATATACAATGGAGCACACGACGCTATGGCCGTTCACAACCATCCCTCGTTTTTGAACAGTTTATTTCTAATAAACCTGACCTCAAAGGCTTCATTCTGACCAGCGAGTTCAAAGAACCAGAGCGCCCGCTTCGCTCTATTCCGGACCTACCAGTCCGCTTCGGAGCAGCCTGTCCCGCCCGATTCCGCGTTGTGCCATGTGTCTGACCGACGGATCAAGCCTGTCTCTGGTCTGACAACTGGAGCTTGACGCCTGAACTGAAAACAAGCCTGGACACACTTCTTTGGATGGAAAGCTCCAGTTGCTTCACCATTCCCATAAGTTTCATACCCAAAACCTGAGGACCTTCTTACACCGAAATGAAACGACGCGAATGATATGTTACACCTTTACTTTCCTCCGAGCCTCTCACATTCCCCCCAACCTTTCACAAACCCCCCGGCTTCTGACATACCTTCTAGCTTTCCCCCTCCCTTGACTCCCATTTCCCTTCCTCCTTGTACCGCCCCCCTCCCCCCCCCCACACAAGCTTTCCGCGTATCCACAGCTGCGAGCAAATTTATCGAGGGACCCTCCTCAGTTGCTGCTTGGTCCGCTTCATTCTCTCCTCGGTTTTGGTTTCACGTCCTTCAACTACTGGAGTAGTTTCAAGGCTTCTGGCGAGTTGGAGATATCTAGGTAGACCTTGTGTGGGTATTGGTTTCTTGAGCCATGGCGTTCTCTAGATGGCCCTCGTGTTTGGTGGTTCTGCTGCTCATCGCTAGCTCGTGCCAAGCTCAACAAGTGATTCGGCTTGGGTTCCTCCTACCGTATCCTGATGGCGACTCCGCCGTTCCGCAACGACTTGCCGACGAATGGTTAGACCCCTCACCCGAAATTCTCCGCTAAGTCACCTCACGTTTTTGGCTCGGCACGACAATGAGAATGACGAAATATCTGAACAAGTTCTGTTCCTGTCGACTCAGAAGTCACCGCTATGCTTCTGTGAACTTACCAGGAGGTTGCATTCAAATGACAAAGGGTGCATCACAAAGTTGCATGTCGACGGCTACGTTCATAACTGGATCCACAATAACTGAGTCTGAAGATTGCAGTAGAAGGTTGAATCTTAAAGGCTGCAACCATCACAAGACAGTTGATCGTGTCGGTCTCGCGACAGCTTGATATTGCTGTTACAAGTTCCGCAAGAGAGATTTTCGAAGGCCTCGTGAGAGGTTTCATCATTAAGTTCCTGCCTCCGACGTGCATAAACGTATCCTTGCATCTTGTGCGTCCAATGCTGTCGTGGCAGGATCTCTGCCGTCCGTGTGGCTCTGGAGGTGCTGGGACCGCAGTACGAGAACAATTTCGTCGTCGAGCCGTTCGTCCAAAACTCCGCATGCGACGCCGAAGTTGCCGCTCAGGCTGCACAGGTGGGTCTGATATGTCACGATGCTATCAATTTGTCTTTTGGAACGGTTTTTTTATTTACTTATCTCCGTCATCTAAGGAGAACTGGCGTGCTGATCACGAGCTATCGCCTCTTCAATGGAGACTTGCCTGCTGAATAACGAGGACACGCTTAACGGGGTGGTCCAGATTCGATTACGCACTCAATAGGATGCGTTGCTTTCGTCTGAATGGTTGTCCTCCGTGTTACCCTTTCGACAAACATCCGTTTCTCGTTCTCCTTGTTGGTATCGTCATGTCGCAAGGTCACCACTTACCATGCTCAGCTTATGTGCTCTCCGTTTCTTCGTCTTCCCGTCTCTCGCTCATTTCAGCGGCTAGTCTACACGAACGTGGTCGGCGTGGTGGGTCCAGCATGTTCCGAGGCCGTGAAGGGCGCCAATCCCGTGCTCAAGGCGGCCGGGATTCCATTCGTCTCGTTCGCCGCCACTGCCGATGGCTTTTCCAGCGACGTCGAGTACCCCACCTTCTTCCGCACTGTGTACGTTACATGCTGCTCTGGTAACCCGGTCATTTCTTTCGTCTCGTTCGCTGCCACTGCTGACGGGTTCTCCAACGAGGTCGCGTAACCCGTCTTCTTCCCAACTGTGTACGTTACGCACTACGCTGGTAACCCGGTAATGTCGTTTGTCTCGGTCGCCGCCACTGCTGGCGGGTTCTCCAACGAGGTCGCGTAACCCGTCTTCTTCCTAACTATATACGTTACGCACTACGCTGGTAACCCGTTCATCTCGTTCACCTCATTCGCCGGCAGTGCCGACGGCTTGTCCAGTAACGTAGAGAATAACTCCATCCTCCACTTCATGCGCTCCACTCCGACTTGTGATAGTATCCGTGCTACTTGTTCGCAAAAACACTGTTCTCTAACTTGTTTCCTCACTTCCCCTCCCCCCGCTTCCTCTTGAATCCCTCTCCTGCATCCCTTGCTTTCAGTTTCCCCGACGCGGACCAAGCTACAGCCATTGTCTCCGTGGTAAGTTTTCTGAACCCGATCCTTTGCCTCCGACCCTTCTGCCGTGCTCTGCCTCTGGACCCTATCGTCTGCCTCCGACCTCCTCATCGCCAGTCGCCCCACGTCTCTTGCAAGTCGTCGCAAAGCGATCCCCACGCCGCCGGCGAGCCGTCGCCCTGCTGTTCAGCTATCTTCAGTACCCACGCGTCACAGTGCAGCCGCTTTCGTTTCTTCTCGGTCCGCCCCTTCTATTGTGTCTCACTTCCGCTTCTTTCTCGACCATTGTTGGCTCAGTGCTCCTATGCTCCCTCTTCGCGTGCTGTCAGCACTCTCCGTTTCACCCGTCGTCTTGGCCATCACTTTCGCCCCGCTTATCTCCTGTTCCTTCCGTTTCGTCTGCCTCGTGTTGCGCCCCGCGCTTTTTTCCAGATCGAGCATTTCAACTTCGACCAGATTCACCTCTTCTATTCGGACGAGATTTATGGCACCTCACTCGCTAAGGGCATCAAGGTGAGAGATTCTCTCGTTATAATACGATTCATTACACGGCATTCTCGTTCGCCTCCAGATCGAGCTCTGTAACCTCGACTAGAAAAGGAGGGTGCAAACTCTCATTTCTCTACACGCTCCGCCTCGCTTCCCCCCTCTCCCCCCATTCCCCTCTCCCCCTTCTCCTCTCTTCCACCCGCGCAGAACATTCTGAGCGGCAAACGCGTGGTGCAGCTGATCAAGGTGCCGTACCCCGTCGACCCCACGGCCCTGGACCAGTACTTCACTCTCTCCTCTGTTTCTCCCTCAACCCAACCTTGTCCCTCCCCGCCCTTTCCCGAGCAGAACATTCTGAGCGGCAAGCGCGTGGTGCAACCGATCAAGGTGCCGTACCCCGTCGACCCCACGGCTCTCGACCAGTACTTCGCCAACATGAAGCCCAGCAACGCTTCCGTCTGCGTCTTCGCCACGCTGCCCAACGTCGCCGAGGCCCTCTGGGAAACGGCGTTCCGCCTGGTGAGTTGGTTTGGCCGGACCTAGTGAGCCGGTTTGGCCGTATCTGGTGAGTCAGTATGTCTAACGCTGCCCAACGTCGCGGAGGCCCTGTGGGAGACGGCGTTCCGCCTGGTGAGTTGGAGAGAGGGAAAGATAGGCAGTGAGAAAACGGGTGGAGGTGGGGGAGAGAGAGAGGGAGTGAAAGGGAGGGGGAGAAAAAGAGTTTGCTTTTCAGTGGTTTAGGCCACACTTCTCCACAGCCCTCGACCAGTACCTCGCCAACATGAAGCCCAGCAACGCGACCGTCTGCGTCTTCGCCACGCTGTCCAACGTCGCGGAGGCTCTGTGGTAGACGGCATTCCGCCTGGTGAGTTTCAGACAAAGGAGTCAGAGAGAGAGAGGAGAGTGAAAAGCGCTAGTTGTGGTGGTTGCCACGTTGCCCAACGTCGCAGAGGCTCTCTGGGCGACGGCGTTCCGCCTGGTGAGCTGGTTTGGCAGGACCTAATGAGCCGGTTTGGCCGTATCTGGTGAGTCAGTATGTCTAACGCTGCCCAACGTCGCGGAGGCCCTGTGGGAGACGGCGTTGCGGAGGCCCTGTGAGAGGCGTAACGCTCCCATCACTCTTTCCCTGCTTCCCCCCCCTCCCTCTCTTTCTACTTGCCCCTCCTCTCCTGAACGCACTGCAGGGCCAGACCAAGTTCCCGTACTGGTACCTGGGAGCTGATGGCAATCTCTTTCGCTCCTCCCTTACCCCCCCCTCTCTCTCTTTTCTTTAACCCACTGCAGGGCCAGACCAAGTTCCCGTACTGGTACCTGGGAGCTGATGGCGCCGTTGCATTTGACCTCGTTGGCGAAGGTACGCTTGTCCTTTTCGAGAGCTGTACTTGTAACGAGGATGTTCTTAGAGGCCCATTCGTGAAGCTGGCGAGCGGAAAGCTGGAATCTAACCAAATTTATTTCTTTCACGTGATTAATTCGCTCTGTCACAATACGCCTTGGTGCCGTGCAGGCAAGGACCTGACCAACCTCACACACGCCCTGCAGGGAGAAATCGGCGTTGGTCCTTACAGTAAGTCCCTGCCTTGCTTGCATATAGCACTTTCCTTTCGTCTGTGCTCAGCTGTTGCCCTTCCGGGACCTATCCTTTCCCCCTTGAAGTACCTATCCAACCTCACGCACGCCCCGCAGGGAGAAATCGGCGTTGGTCCTTACAGTAAGTCCCACGCCCTGCAGGGAGAAATCTAGCGCCTCACTTTCCTGGTGCTGCTCTAGTTTTGAGGCGCCTCAAAACTTGCCCTTCCGGTTTTGATGGTCTTCTTGTCAACTGTCTTTGCCACCCCCATAGAATCTAGCGCCTCATTTTCCTGGTGCTGCTCCTCTCTTCCTGTCCCCCCCCATGCGCAGAGGGCAACTACCATCCGCGCACGTCGCCCTTCAACCAGTTCAAGGACTTTTGGGCCACCAAGACGCACGAGGAGTACCCTGGCCTGCTCACGCTCGACGCCTCCCCCCGGGTATGTGCATGCTATGAGTGACTGACAGTTGGAAGTATGGTGACTACTTTTGAGCTGCCTCAAAAGTGGCCACCAAGACGCACAAGGAGTACCCTGGCCTGCTCACTCTCGATGCCTCCCCCGGGGTATGTGCGTGCTCTGAGTGACTGGTCGCAGTGAGACATGGTTTGAGACGTTTTGAACCTCCCCCGGTATGTGCGTGCTCTGAGTGGCTGTGAGACATGTTTTGAGACGTTAGTCCACACAAGCCCCTTCCTAACTTCCAATATTGTGGTCTCTTGCCTCTACAATCACTTACCCTCGTCCCACCACCTCTCACCATCCCCCTCCCCCCTTGACTCCTCAGTTCACCGAAGCACGTGCCTACGTCACCAACCTCATCGATTCCATCTGGGCATTCTTTGAAGCTTTCAAGACAATTGTCGTCGACCAAGGTATGGAAGCTCGCTATTCTTTTTTTGGTAAGGATAAGAGGTTCTGATTTGATTTTTTTTTTTTTTTTTTTTTGGTTCTCCCTTTGTTGATCCATCCAAAATTGAGGTGTCGTGTCTCGTGTGGCTGCTGTTGCTTAATGGCTTGTGGGTGTTGTTGCTTCTTGGCTTGTGGCCGCATGATTTTTTCTTCCTTGATTTGCATCTTTCCTTTTGCCCCCACCTCGTGTTGCCAGGCAAGGAGGTGACGGCGCCACTGCTGCTGGACTGCTTCCGAGGCATCCCCTCCCAGTGTATCGCCTTCAACGGCGCCTCTGGCACCGTTGCCTTCAACAGCACCACGGGGGAGAGGGAGACGGAGGCCTCGGCGCCCCAGTACGGGTTCTACAACCTCATTGACGTCACCTGGAAGGTCAGTTGTGCAGAAGCCTAGTCTAGAGAAGTTTCAGGGCATAAGGGAGGGCAGACTGATGCATTTGAGAAGCAGACTGAGGCCTCGACGCCCCAGTACGGGTTCTACAACCTCATTGACGTCACCTGGAAGGTCAGTCCTGCTGATGCCTGAGCGTCTTATGAGCCGCCTCTAAAGCTGTGCTCGAGAGTCGCCTTCAACAGCACGAAGAGGCAGACGGAGGCCTCGGCGCCCCAGTACGGGTTTTGCAACCTCTTTGGCTTCACTTCGAAGGTCAGTGATCTCGTGCATTCGGCCTCTGCTCTCTCTCTATGCTCTCTCTTCCCCACCACAGGAGAAGAGCAAGTGGGTGCTGGGCAGCTAACGATCAACCCCAACCTTGACTACGTTGGGCAACCGGGCCTGCTGCTATCTATGTGCCTTCTCTCCTCTCAGTTCCGGTTTCTATGCGCTCTGCTCCTTTCCCACCTGGCAGGAGAAGAGCAAGTGGGTGCGGGGCAGCTACAGGAGTGAACACCCAAACTGGACTACATTGAGCGCCCCTCTCCCTGTCCCTGACCTGTTTCCTCTTGCTTCTCTTCCTGCTGTGCCCCTGTGCACTCTGTCCTTTCCCACCTGGCAGGAGAAGAGCAAGTGGGTGCTGGGCAGCTACAAGATCAACCCCAACCTCGAATACATTGAGCGGCCGGGCCCGCTGCCTGCCAGCTGGAAAACGGATCTCATGAAGCAGATTGCCGCCCAGCCTGCCGTCATCCCGGCCGGCATCGATGCGGTGCAACCTGTTTCGGATACTTTTGATACCCTGCCCGGTGCCAAGGAGAAGGTGAGAAGCGTGAGGGAAGGAAGGGCTGTAGCCTGGGGTTTTGGAGCGAGTCTTGTGCATGAGGGAGGCGCCTGCGGGTTAGAAGCAGATGGTTTGCTATCATTCTTTCGGCATTGAGACAGTGTTGTGCACCATTTGATAATTGCAGGATTACAATACCACCACTACCAAGGCACCTGCACCCTCTGGTGGTGGTGGCGGGCCTAGCACGGGAGCCATTGTTGCTCTTGTGCTCGTCATTATCGTAGCTGTGGGAGTGCTCGGGTATGGTGGATGGTACTGGTACAACCGCAACTACCGCCACCCCGAGCACCAGACGTTTGTTCGCATGCTTTAGAATAAGCACAATGTGTAAAAGAGGTTTGGTAGAGAGTGTTAGTTCAGATAATTTGTTCACTAGATGCGCTAAATTTTCTATACTCGTATTACTTGTTATTGGAACCTATGAGGCCCTTGTTGAAGCATTAGTTTGTCAACTTAATAATGGTTATGCGTCTTGCAACAATATGTTGGTACACTCACGTTCAGGAATCATTGAACAACCTGCTGCCACAGGGCTCAGTATACCGGAATCCACAATAGCGAAAAGCAGGGTGAACTGTAATGTTGTCGTCGCCTGGCCCCTGCCCTTTCAATGTTGTCCGATTTGAGGAGAATGATGATGAGATCTGATTGCTGCTTCAAAATGGCCATTTGGTGCAGTGGGCCGCTGTTTCAGGATGGTCAGTTCCCGACCAACCCCGACACAAGGCCGACAAATGTTCACCACAGTACAGTTCTCTGTGATGCATGTAAATAATCACCTGGAAGCTGCCCGTGTGGGTACTAAAAGCGCCTGCTGCGACTAATTTTGGGATGGAAGCAGCTCACCCCGATAATAAAAAGAACCTTGAAAGACACCGGTGCCAATTGGGCATATGTTTGCAGTTTCTGGGCATAGCCAAAGGAAGATTGGGCATCAGAGAAACAACGTGACATTGCTGATCTGATTCTCTCGTCACCGCCCGCAATGCTCCTTGCCGAGAGTGGCGTGTACGGCAGGGACACACTAAATCAGGACCTTGTCGTGTTTCAGAGCTCCTAGGTTAGGATACATGTACAGTAGTACCAACATGGAGTGAAACAAGTTTCAGGAAGCAGTGGCAATATGTGGAGTCAAAATGTAGACAATGATATGGGGAACTTTCTCGGCTCACTTCGCACGGAGTAGGAAGCAATGCTTAGCAGCAATGAGTGTGTATATTTGGATGTTGAACATATATTGGTTGGACCATCGGATGCCAGTAGCAACCCATGGTTTTCTCTTTTCTCCATCCCACCCTCCATTCCACGCGCAAATGCAACATTCTTGCGCACGCGCCGCCAAGAGTGAGGTCGCATGATTACTGTACCAGATTTTTAGAACTTGCACCGGAAGAGACCGTACAAATAATAATTTATACCAGATGAAACCACACCCAGCCTTTCTGGTTTTGCATTTCTGGTCCCACTCTCAATTCCTTGCTTCTCGCGTCACACATGCCATTCGCGGCTCTTGTTTCCTTTCCGCCCGCGGTTAGGCTGGCTGCTTCTCCAATCAACCTGGCCTGTCTGCTTGCGTTGCGTGCATGTGATGTTTCTGCCTAAGTTTCAAGGGCAGCAGCATGTCTTCCCTCCCTCCTGCTTTGTCCCGACTTTGCTTCAAAGTAGCCCTCTACACCCTTCGTCGAGCCTAAAACTCTCTAAACCGCTTTCCACCATCACCCTCATCATCATCCGCTTCGTTCTGCCCAGTTTTTATCCACTCTTCCTGCCCTCTACCTACTCTCCCATCCTGAACTCTTAGAACTCTGAAGACCCAAGTTCAGTTTTATTTCCCTCTGTAACGTCGTCAGGAAGCTGAATACGTTTTAGGAAGACGGTATGGATTAGGAATACGCTAGGGTTGGAGCATTTAGGACGGAAAGGGAGCGCGCTTACTTGCTTTGCATCCAGTCCGCTAAGACGTTGTACAGCCACGATACCACTTCTAAGACATGCCTCGATCAGAGGTCGCGTGCGCGACAAGGCCGCCTGTTATAGTCACGAGAGAACCTATATCTATCGGTCGTAGCAGTAGCTCTCATTCACTCGTTAGCGAGGATGCGTCTTCGTTTCCCCAATCGCTCTCTCCGCGAGGACACGCGGCAGGCGCGCACGGCCGCCTGTTCTCGTGCGCAACCGAAGTGCGCGGACACGCGGAGGGCTTGCGCGGGCACGCTGCTGGCGATTCGCGGCAGCCTAGCGGACACGATAGTGCAAGCTTCGATAGCACTAACAGAGATAGAGCTTCTAGTATCGGTGCCGGTAGTAGCGCTGGCCAATCACGCGCGTCTGATTCATCCGCTCGCCCATCCGAAGCTCCCTCACGCGCAAACGAAGCTTCCTCCTCGCGCTCCCCGTCGGCTCTAGCCCAGCGTCGAGCTCGACCGCCGCGACTCCAGCTCCCCGCTCCTCCCGGCAGCAGCGCAATCAGCGGCAGTGGGAGCACCAGCGGGAGCGCCAGCAGCCGCGGAAACGTCAATGGCGGCGGGGACGGCAGCGGGAGCACCAGCAGCAACGGAAGCCGCGTCTCGTCGTCCTCCGCGCCGGCATCTGCGCGGTTTTCCCCCGCGGGGCGGTGCGCTGCCTCCCCTCGCTCCGCCGTTCCCTGGTCCCCGACGAGCTCCCCGTGTTCCGCACCCCCGACTCTTTCCCGCGCCGTGCGCTCCCCCGCCGCTTCCGCCTTCCCCTGCTCCCCCGCTAAACCTGCCGACCCGTTCGGGCTTGCGAGTCCGCAAAGCACGCCGAGCGAAACGCCTCGGGAAATCGTCGCACCGTCGCCAAGGGCCCGGGGAAGCGCTTCGCGGGGATCCCGCGGAGGGGCCACGGAGCCCCGCGGAATGCCTCCGCCTGTGCGCGCACACCGATCCGGCGAGTCGGCGGGGGAAGCGGTGGTGGCTAAGGTGACCGCGCTTCGATTGGATGACGTGGCGGAGGTTTATTCGTCGGATGAAGAATTTCTGGACATGTTTTGCGAACGCGACTCGGACATTCGCGACGACTTTCGCGTAAAAGGAGTGCGCGACCACACTGGCGGCTCGCACGGCGTCGCAGGGCAACACTCGTCAACGGCGGTAGCAAGCCCCTCTGTGACTGGTGCGACTGGTGCGACTGTGTCCAGATCTCCGTCGCTGTCGCAGTTGTCGCAGCGCTTCGTCATACCGCATTCGCACACCGTGCCGCTTCCGCCGCCGTCTCCTGCGGGCGCGCGGAGGGCGCTGCGGAAGGCCTTTAGCCACAACGACGAGAAGAACGTCCGCGCGATCGGCGGAAGCGGTAGGCGCAACTCCCGCTTGGCGCAGGCGAAGGCGGGTGGCGCACCTCCCGTTCAGGCAGGCGGGTTTCACTGCTACGCGGTAGAGGAGTCCCCGCACACCCCCGCGCGTAGCCGTGGGGAAGGGTCTGCGGAAGATTTCGCGGAAGGGCCCGCGGAATGTTTTGCGGAAGGCTCCTCGCACAGAGGCGTGGGGGTTGATCGCAACGATGCCGGCGAGGATATCGCGACTTCGCGTGGCGGAGCGTGGAGTAATTCTGACCGTTGGATCGACGATGCGGACAATTGGATGCCGCCCACGCCGAGACGGCAGCAGCAGCAGACGCAGACGCAACAGCATCAGCAGCGGCAGCGGCGGGATCTTCAAAAGCAGGGGTCGATTTCGGGAAGTCGAGGCGCCTTAGGATCCGGAAGCCGCGCCGCGGATAGTGCCCATCCCGTGCCGGCCGATGCGGTAACCGGCGCAGCGGCGCAGATCAACTCCGTGATGGCGCAAACTCACCCCGCGGCGCGTTTCTCGCCACGCTCAGTTCGCGGAACGGCCGGGGTTCTAAGCGGACGATCGCGCAGCTCCTCGGATCTGCAGTGCGCCGCTAATGCCACCCCGCTTCTCCCGCCGTTTCCCGCTTCCCCGTCCGCCGGTTCCCCTTCCGCCGCTTCCCCGTACCCTGCATTTCCACCCTCTCTTTCCGCGCCCTCTGCCCGCCCCACGCTCGCTCTCGTCTCCCCCTCTTCCTCCTCTTCCGCCGGCCCCTCCCCTTCTTCCGCTTCCCCCTCCCCGTCGTTCCCCGCCTTCCCGCGGCCCTCCGCGCTCGCATGTCGTACTTCTCGAACCGCGGCCGCTCGAACCGCGGCGCTTGCTCCTAGTTCCCCTCGCTGTTATCCCACATCGCCACGTCACGATCCGCTTTCGCCGCGTCAGCAACCCCTATCCTCGCCACGTCACAGACCGTCTTCGCCACGTTGCTTCCCTAATTCGCCAGATCAGCATGCCCCCGTCTCACCTCGTCATTTACCCGCTTCTCCACGTCACTGTCCCTCGTCCCCACGTCACCTCCCTACATCGCCTCGGCACATTCCGTCATCTCCACGTCAGCATGACGTGGCACCTGCGTCTCCTCGCCGCCCGTCGGGGATCGCGGCGGCAATCGCGGCGCAGGCCGCGGCGGACGCGGCGGCGGCGATTCCGTCCGACGTGGATTCGGACGAAGAAGCGATGGGGATCCTAAACGCCCTGCGGCGGTCGCGCAGCAACCCGCGAACGGCGCTGACGTCGTCCGCGGTGCAAGGATCCGCACAAGGTTCCGCGCAGACGTTGCCGCTAGTAGGGTGCGCGGCGGAAAAATCTGCGCGTTCTTGTGGTGGTGCGGGGGGAAACGGTGCTGGCGTATACGCGTCTGGTGCTGGCTGCAGTAACGAGTACACTGCAATCTACAGTGAAAAAAGCTGCAGTGATATGAATTATTTTGAACAGAATCAGAGTGATTATACTGACGGCCAATTGCACAGGAACAGGAGCGCTGGCAATTTGGTGAAGGGGAGGAGGACTCTGGACAGCACCCGAATTTCAGGGGATTTTCGAAATCAACACCACCGTGGAGGGGAAACAGAAAAAGCTATCTCGCCGTCTTCTTCTTCTGATTATTATGTCCCCCTGCAACGCCAGGGCTCGTTTGCAAGTGGCCTGAACAGTGCTGGTTCTTTGGGCGGCAGCACGGGCAGCAGAATGAAGCACGTGGCAGGTAGCACTGGGCGGCTGGCGAGTCTTTTGCCTACAGAACGGACAAGGCCGAGCAGCAGCCATGCGTTTGTTGATAGAAACGGTCCTGCTTGTAAGGTGGATACCGAGGGTGGAGTGGGAAGGGCAGTGGGTGAGGGGGCTACGAGTAGTGGTGGGAAGGTTAGGAGGGAGGGGGGTAGGGCGAGTGAGGTTGGGAACATGAGTGAAGGGGGTGTGTGTGAGAGGACTAGAAGGTACGGACTCGGAAGGGGTAGAAAGGGGGAAGGAGGAGGAGGGGAAGGAGGAGGGGGAGGAGGGGGAGGAGGGGGAGGAGGGGGAAGAGGAGAGGGAGAGGGAGGGCTTGACACCCCAGCGGCTCGAGATAGGTCGAGTGACTTGCTTTGGGAAGCGGAGAGGAGAGAGGAGGAAAGGAGAGAGAGAATTGCTGAGGAGATGCAAATGAGGGGATGGGGAGGTGTGGAGGGGTCTGCAAGGGAGTGGGGAGGTGTGGGTGGGAGTCGCAGCTTCACAATAGGGCGGAGAGAGAATTTGGCAGGAGTGGCAGAGAGAGGCTTGCTGACTGACAGCCAGGGCAGCCGCAGCTGCTCTTGGCTCAGAAGCAGCTCCACCAGTGGTAGCAGCAGCGGAAGCATCGGCGTCGGCAAAAGCAGCAGCGGCAGTATCGGCATTGGTGGCAGCAGTGGCAGCTTCAGTGTTGCCAGCAGCAGCGGGAGCATTGGCATCAACAACAGTGGCAGTAACAGCGGCAGTAGCAGCAACATTAGGAGCAGTGATACGATCAGTGGCATTGGAAGCAGCAGCTGCAGCAGAGGCTTGATTCCTTCTGCTCCAGTAGGGTCAGCAGCAGCAGCAGCCGCAGCAGCAGCTGCTGATGCAGAGATAAACCTAGATGCTATTTTTGCAATGTACAGTGCTGCGGTCAAGAGAAGAGCTGATGTTACACATGCTCGACGCTTCGAGTATGAGGACGAGGAGGAGTATGAGGAGGGTGGGAGAGATGCGGAGGTTAGTGAGGAGATGTTTCGGCATTCTGGAATAGCAGGCGTGGAGGGGTGGAGTGGGAGAGAGGAGGTGCTGCCGGTAGTAGCACGGGGCCTGGAGCAGAGGCGAGAGGCTAGTTATGGAGACACATGCAGAAGGGCGGGATTTACTGGCTTTCGGAAACCCGATCCGGATGATTATATAGAGGATGAGAACGATGAGTTGGATTTCGGACTTCCTATTAAAAGTCGGAGCATGACCGTGCGGTCTGCCAGTAGATACTCTGCGGTGGAGTATGGTTTGGAGACTGGTGATCCTTGGGGCAGCAGCGGCCAGGACTATTATGTGGATGACCAGCAGATATCGAGGCAAGAAGGCGACCGTATGGTTGGATATGGTAGAACTGGGAAGGATCGGCAACATTGTGAGGATGGTTTAGGGTTTGGACAGGAGCGGGAGAGCAAGGGATGGGGGGGCCAGATTAGAAAATCCAGGACCCTTCCAATTGATCCTATCGTTTATGAATAATATGATATGGCAGAGTGTACATGCATTTTTTATGTTCTGCTTCAGCCTGATGGTAAGTTCTGATGGGTTTATCATTCATTGCCCAAAGTGGCATTAAGTACCACAATCAAATATTTGTTCAGTCTTACTAAATTATCACTGCACCCCTATTTTCCAATCTACACCCAGATTTTTGCACCTTCGCCGTGCTCCTGAGCTGACTGCGGTGACATTTTCAGCCAATAGTGGCCCGTCGCATTCACCGCGTCAAGCTTCGGTACCGACAGCTTTACAAAGAACGATGCATCCTAGTGGATGCGACGCCTGTCAAAGTCGTTCAGTCGCCATCGCGATTCGACGCTGATGCAAATCATCAGTGCTGTGCGACAAGTGACTTTGACGCTGACGGGAACATTCCAAGTTCAAATCTTGAAAACTGGGAAGTACTCAAGGGGGTTGCATTCCTACAGTATTCACGGTTTTGTACCTTTCAGAACGGTAAGCGGAAAGGAACCATTTTATACCGTGTGGAAAACTTCTGTAACGCACTGGACGCTCAGGTTACGAAGACGTGGGACTCTCATGAGAGAACCATGGAGTCAAGCGGCGAGATTCGTAGCGAGTTTTGTAGTGAGTAGTGTGTGCTGTACTCTTTGTTCACACAGTTCTAGCTAGTTCAGAAAGCTGGTTCTCTGTTGCTCGTTGATTCAAAGATAGTTTCTAGAGCTTGTTTCCAGTTCGCGTTCCTAGCCCGACACGTTTAGGTTGCGTACGACTGGAGCGCAGGTATCCAGCTTGTCTGATTGCCTCCGATTCTCCTTAGAGCCTCGTAACTCTTTCTGCTAGCTCCTAATCCGCGTGTCGTTCCTTCTGTCTGGCTTCTCTCGCTTCTCTCAAAACTGTGCAATGATAGTTTGCAAACGACAGGGAAACAGATAATCACCAACTTTAAATTAGTCGAGCCACTATTCCCGTCCCGAGTATTAGACGCCAGAAAGGCTGTTGCAAGGAAGGAGTCAGCGGGTTGCGAACGAGAAAGGAGAAACTTAGTGCGATCATCTAGAGTACGCAAAACGCCAGAAAGCCAGCTGAAACATTCAGCCTAAATAGTCATCCGAAACGAAGGGAGGGTGCCAGGCGTGTCACTACTGAGAAACCAGCGTCGTGAGAAAGCCTTTGCGTATTCGCCTGTCGCCTGCTATCAGTGGTTACCACCTGACCTGCTGGTATTCACGGCATTTCCTACGAAGTTTGCAATGGCTGACACCCAACGGCATCTTGAAAGATTGCTCGCAGCACACTCGTACAATCACACCTGTCTACAGTCATTCAACTGCAGCTCGTTACGTTCGCATGTGCTCCCTCTGTTGCTCGTCATCGTTTTTCTCTCCTCGCTCGCGCCGAGCCTGGAAGCCGAAGCTGCTGGTCCGGTTCGGCAGGTGGTGAAGCTCGGGTTCCTGCTGCCGTATCCCAAAGCCGACCACGTCATTCCCCTGCGCCTCGCTGACGAATGGTACGCGCCTCCCCCAAAATCAACTCATTCCTCCATGGTTTTTTTGTTCAACATTCGTCAAAGAAACGCTTTAGTGCTGTATCCTGAAAGCCGACCACGTCACCCCCCTGCGCCTCGACGACGAATGGTACGCGCCTCGTTCGCAGTCGATTCGCATCTGCTTATGTACTGTATGGCTCATCTATATCTGTCCGCTTCACTGCCTGTCTTAAGCCGACCACGTCATTCCCGTGCGCCTCGCTGAGGAATGGTATGCGCCTCGTTTGCAGTCGATTCGCACCTGCTTACATATCGCCTGGCTCATTTTATATGAGGTGACTTATGAGTCGACTCAAAAGTCACCTTTTGAGTTAACTCAAAGGTCAGTCGATTCGCACCTGCTTACATATCGCCTGGCTCATTTTATATGCCGATCCAGAGTGGCTGTGCAGCATCCCGAGTGGCTCTAAAGGTGCTAGGACCCAAATACTCGGACGCATTTGATGTGGTGCCGCACATTGCCCAACCTGCCGCTAACCCTTTCATAGTTACTCTATCTTCCTCTCAATCCCTCACCTTCTCGCCCTCTCTCCTCCAGGATCGCAGCGTCACGTGTGGCTCTGGAGGTGCTAGGACCCAAATAATCGGACGCATTTGATGTGGTGCCACACATTGCCCTACTGACCACTCCCCTTCTCCCCTTTCCTCTCACTCTCTATACTCTGACGCATTTGACGTGGTGCCGCACACTGCCCAAGTGCTAGCACACACTTGTCTCCCACCTTCCCCTCCTCTCCCTCTCCCCATCGACGTCGCACTCCAGGATCGCAGCATCAAGGTTCACTCTGGAGGTGCTAGGGCCCAAATGCTCTGACTCTTTTGATGTGGTGCCGCACATTGCCCCATCAACACTGCCTGCCCTTCTCCCTCCTTCAGGATCGCAGCGTCACGAGTGGCTCTGGAGGTGCTAGGGCCCAAATACTCGGACGCATATGATGTGATGGTGCTGCAGGCACACCCTCCCACCCACCGCTAACCAGTTCTCTTCCCCCTTCCCTCTCACTCTATCAATGCTCTCCTTCAGGATCGCAGCGTCACGAGTTGCTCTGGAGGTGCTAGGGCCCAAATAATCGGACGCATTTGACGTGGTGCCGCACATTGTCCTACCCACTGGTGACCCTTTCCTTCTCTCACCCTTCCCCATCAACACTGCCCATCCTTACCCCCTCAACACTACCCTCCTTCAGGATCGCAGCGTCTCGAGTGGCTCTGGAGGTGCTAGGACCCAAACCAAATACTCAGACGCCTTCGATGTGGTGCCGCACATTGCCCCACCCACCGCTAACCACTCCCTTTCTCCCCTCCTCCTCCCTCTCACTCATCACCCTCCTTCAGGATCGCAGCGTCACGAGTTGCTCTGGAGGTGCTAGGACCCAAATACTCTGACGCATTTGATGTGGTGCCGCACATTGCCAACTCCAACTGCGACCGGCAGGAGGCCAAGGAGGCTGCGCAGGTGAGGGGGAAGGGTGACCGTGGGGGGACCGGCATGCATGTACAGAGGCTTTGTAAGTGCTTGGGTGCCCTTTCCATTTGATGTGGTGCCGCACATTGCCAACTCCAACTGCTACTGGCAGGAGGCCAAGGAGGCTGCGCAGGTGAGGCAGGAGGAGGGTGGGCAGGGACTTATGCCATGCTCGGAGTCTCCCTTCTCAGTGCTCGAACGCCTTTCTTATGGTGCCGCACATTGCCAACTCCAACTGCGACCGACAGGAGGCCAAGGAGGCTGCGCAAGTGAGAAGGGGGGAGGTTCAGCAGGGCCTTAGCCATGCTCGGAGCAACCTAGCTGGCGATTTTCGCCCCTCTCCACCCCTCTCCGCCCCTCTCCACGCCTGCCCCTTTCCCTGTATCCCCCTTGCAGCTCCTGCTAAGGGACAGGTTGGTGGGAGTGGTGGGCCCAGCGTGCACAGAGGCAGCGCTGGGAGCAGCAGACGTGCTTGTACCTGCTGGAGTGCCGATTGTCTCATTCGCTGCCACGTGGGATGGGTTCAGAGACAGAGAGAGATTTGGCTCATTCTTCCGCACTGTGTGAGTCAAAGGGAAGGTGGAAATCAGTTGAGTTCGGTTGAATAGGGTTGAGCTGCTTCGACGGGGATTTCTGGGAGCAGCAGACGTGCTGGTGCCTGCTGGCGTTCCTGCTGGCGTTAAGGGCAGGTGGAAATCGGTTGAGCTGGGCTGAGCTCGGTTGGCAGCGCTGGGAGCAGCAGACGTGCTGGTGCCTGCTGGCGTGCCGATCGTTTCCTTCGCTGCCGTGTGGGATGGATTTCGGGACAGGGAGAAGTTCGGTTTCCGTCGCCCCCACCATCCTCACCATTCCCAAAGCTTCGGCGACAGGCACCAGGCAGCAGCCATGCGCTCGCTCCTTCAGGAGTTCATCTTTGATCCAGTGATCCTGTTCTTCACTTGCGAGAGAGCTGTTCTCTTGCCTCCTTGCCCCCATCCTGTTCTTCACAGAGGACACGTACGGATCGGCTCTGGGCTATGATATCGAGGTGAGATTTGTTGGTGTGCGCACAGGCATTGTTACAGGCACCTTGGTGTGTTTGATCGAGTCATCCTGTTCTTCACAGAGGACACGTACGGATCGGCTCTGGGCTATGATATCGAGGTGAGATTTGTTGGTGTGCGCACAGGCATTGTTACAGGCACCTTGGTGTGTTTGATCGAGTCATCCTGTTCTTCACAGAGGACACGTACGGATCGGCTCTGGGCTATGATATCGAGGTGAGATTTGTTGGTGTGCGCACAGGCATTGTTACAGGCACCTTGGTGTGTTTGATCGAGTCATCCTGTTCTTCACAGAGGACACGTACGGATCGGCTCTGGGCTATGATATCGAGGTGAGATTTGTTGGTGTGCGCACAGGCATTGTTACAGGCACCTTGGTGTGTTTGATCGAGTCATCCTGTTCTTCACAGAGGACACGTACGGATCGGCTCTGGGCTATGATATCGAGGTGAGATTTGTTGGTGTGCGCACAGGCATTGTTACAGGCACCTTGGTGTGTTTGATCGAGTCATCCTGTTCTTCACAGAGGACACGTACGGATCGGCTCTGGGCTATGATATCGAGGTGAGATTTGTTGGTGTGCGCACAGGCATTGTTACAGGCACCTTGGTGTGTTTGATCGAGTCATCCTGTTCTTCACAGAGGACACGTACGGATCGGCTCTGGGCTATGATATCGAGGTGAGATTTGTTGGTGTGCGCACAGGCATTGTTACAGGCACCTTGGTGTGTTTGATCGAGTCATCCTGTTCTTCACAGAGGACACGTACGGATCGGCTCTGGGCTATGATATCGAGGTGAGATTTGTTGGTGTGCGCACAGGCATTGTTACAGGCACCTTGGTGTGTTTGATCGAGTCATCCTGTTCTTCACAGAGGACACGTACGGATCGGCTCTGGGCTATGATATCGAGGTGAGATTTGTTGGTGTGCGCACAGGCATTGTTACAGGCACCTTGGTGTGTTTGATCGAGTCATCCTGTTCTTCACAGAGGACACGTACGGATCGGCTCTGGGCTATGATATCGAGGTGAGATTTGTTGGTGTGCGCACAGGCATTGTTACAGGCACCTTGGTGTGTTTGATCGAGTCATCCTGTTCTTCACAGAGGACACGTACGGATCGGCTCTGGGCTATGATATCGAGGTGAGATTTGTTGGTGTGCGCACAGGCATTGTTACAGGCACCTTGGTGTGTTTGATCGAGTCATCCTGTTCTTCACAGAGGACACGTACGGATCGGCTCTGGGCTATGATATCGAGGTGAGATTTGTTGGTGTGCGCACAGGCATTGTTACAGGCACCTTGGTGTGTTTGATCGAGTCATCCTGTTCTTCACAGAGGACACGTACGGATCGGCTCTGGGCTATGATATCGAGGTGAGATTTGTTGGTGTGCGCACAGGCATTGTTACAGGCACCTTGGTGTGTTTGATCGAGTCATCCTGTTCTTCACAGAGGACACGTACGGATCGGCTCTGGGCTATGATATCGAGGTGAGATTTGTTGGTGTGCGCACAGGCATTGTTACAGGCACCTTGGTGTGTTTGATCGAGTCATCCTGTTCTTCACAGAGGACACGTACGGATCGGCTCTGGGCTATGATATCGAGGTGAGATTTGTTGGTGTGCGCACAGGCATTGTTACAGGCACCTTGGTGTGTTTGATCGAGTCATCCTGTTCTTCACAGAGGACACGTACGGATCGGCTCTGGGCTATGATATCGAGGTGAGATTTGTTGGTGTGCGCACAGGCATTGTTACAGGCACCTTGGTGTGTTTGATCGAGTCATCCTGTTCTTCACAGAGGACACGTACGGATCGGCTCTGGGCTATGATATCGAGGTGAGATTTGTTGGTGTGCGCACAGGCATTGTTACAGGCACCTTGGTGTGTTTGATCGAGTCATCCTGTTCTTCACAGAGGACACGTACGGATCGGCTCTGGGCTATGATATCGAGGTGAGATTTGTTGGTGTGCGCACAGGCATTGTTACAGGCACCTTGGTGTGTTTGATCGAGTCATCCTGTTCTTCACAGAGGACACGTACGGATCGGCTCTGGGCTATGATATCGAGGTGAGATTTGTTGGTGTGCGCACAGGCATTGTTACAGGCACCTTGGTGTGTTTGATCGAGTCATCCTGTTCTTCACAGAGGACACGTACGGATCGGCTCTGGGCTATGATATCGAGGTGAGATTTGTTGGTGTGCGCACAGGCATTGTTACAGGCACCTTGGTGTGTTTGATCGAGTCATCCTGTTCTTCACAGAGGACACGTACGGATCGGCTCTGGGCTATGATATCGAGGTGAGATTTGTTGGTGTGCGCACAGGCATTGTTACAGGCACCTTGGTGTGTTTGATCGAGTCATCCTGTTCTTCACAGAGGACACGTACGGATCGGCTCTGGGCTATGATATCGAGGTGAGATTTGTTGGTGTGCGCACAGGCATTGTTACAGGCACCTTGGTGTGTTTGATCGAGTCATCCTGTTCTTCACAGAGGACACGTACGGATCGGCTCTGGGCTATGATATCGAGGTGAGATTTGTTGGTGTGCGCACAGGCATTGTTACAGGCACCTTGGTGTGTTTGATCGAGTCATCCTGTTCTTCACAGAGGACACGTACGGATCGGCTCTGGGCTATGATATCGAGGTGAGATTTGTTGGTGTGCGCACAGGCATTGTTACAGGCACCTTGGTGTGTTTGATCGAGTCATCCTGTTCTTCACAGAGGACACGTACGGATCGGCTCTGGGCTATGATATCGAGGTGAGATTTGTTGGTGTGCGCACAGGCATTGTTACAGGCACCTTGGTGTGTTTGATCGAGTCATCCTGTTCTTCACAGAGGACACGTACGGATCGGCTCTGGGCTATGATATCGAGGTGAGATTTGTTGGTGTGCGCACAGGCATTGTTACAGGCACCTTGGTGTGTTTGATCGAGTCATCCTGTTCTTCACAGAGGACACGTACGGATCGGCTCTGGGCTATGATATCGAGGTGAGATTTGTTGGTGTGCGCACAGGCATTGTTACAGGCACCTTGGTGTGTTTGATCGAGTCATCCTGTTCTTCACAGAGGACACGTACGGATCGGCTCTGGGCTATGATATCGAGGTGAGATTTGTTGGTGTGCGCACAGGCATTGTTACAGGCACCTTGGTGTGTTTGATCGAGTCATCCTGTTCTTCACAGAGGACACGTACGGATCGGCTCTGGGCTATGATATCGAGGTGAGATTTGTTGGTGTGCGCACAGGCATTGTTACAGGCACCTTGGTGTGTTTGATCGAGTCATCCTGTTCTTCACAGAGGACACGTACGGATCGGCTCTGGGCTATGATATCGAGGTGAGATTTGTTGGTGTGCGCACAGGCATTGTTACAGGCACCTTGGTGTGTTTGATCGAGTCATCCTGTTCTTCACAGAGGACACGTACGGATCGGCTCTGGGCTATGATATCGAGGTGAGATTTGTTGGTGTGCGCACAGGCATTGTTACAGGCACCTTGGTGTGTTTGATCGAGTCATCCTGTTCTTCACAGAGGACACGTACGGATCGGCTCTGGGCTATGATATCGAGGTGAGATTTGTTGGTGTGCGCACAGGCATTGTTACAGGCACCTTGGTGTGTTTGATCGAGTCATCCTGTTCTTCACAGAGGACACGTACGGATCGGCTCTGGGCTATGATATCGAGGTGAGATTTGTTGGTGTGCGCACAGGCATTGTTACAGGCACCTTGGTGTGTTTGATCGAGTCATCCTGTTCTTCACAGAGGACACGTACGGATCGGCTCTGGGCTATGATATCGAGGTGAGATTTGTTGGTGTGCGCACAGGCATTGTTACAGGCACCTTGGTGTGTTTGATCGAGTCATCCTGTTCTTCACAGAGGACACGTACGGATCGGCTCTGGGCTATGATATCGAGGTGAGATTTGTTGGTGTGCGCACAGGCATTGTTACAGGCACCTTGGTGTGTTTGATCGAGTCATCCTGTTCTTCACAGAGGACACGTACGGATCGGCTCTGGGCTATGATATCGAGGTGAGATTTGTTGGTGTGCGCACAGGCATTGTTACAGGCACCTTGGTGTGTTTGATCGAGTCATCCTGTTCTTCACAGAGGACACGTACGGATCGGCTCTGGGCTATGATATCGAGGTGAGATTTGTTGGTGTGCGCACAGGCATTGTTACAGGCACCTTGGTGTGTTTGATCGAGTCATCCTGTTCTTCACAGAGGACACGTACGGATCGGCTCTGGGCTATGATATCGAGGTGAGATTTGTTGGTGTGCGCACAGGCATTGTTACAGGCACCTTGGTGTGTTTGATCGAGTCATCCTGTTCTTCACAGAGGACACGTACGGATCGGCTCTGGGCTATGATATCGAGGTGAGATTTGTTGGTGTGCGCACAGGCATTGTTACAGGCACCTTGGTGTGTTTGATCGAGTCATCCTGTTCTTCACAGAGGACACGTACGGATCGGCTCTGGGCTATGATATCGAGGTGAGATTTGTTGGTGTGCGCACAGGCATTGTTACAGGCACCTTGGTGTGTTTGATCGACTCATCCTGTTCTTCACAGAGGACACGTACGGATCGGCTCTGGGCTATGATATCGAGGTGAGATTTGTTGGTGTGCGCACAGGCATTGTTACAGGCACCTTGGTGTGTTTGATCGAGTCATCCTGTTCTTCACAGAGGACACGTACGGATCGGCTCTGGGCTATGATATCGAGGTGAGATTTGTTGGTGTGCGCACAGGCATTGTTACAGGCACCTTGGTGTGTTTGATCGAGTCATCCTGTTCTTCACAGAGGACACGTACGGATCGGCTCTGGGCTATGATATCGAGGTGAGATGTGTGAGTGTGCGCACAGGCATTGTTACAGGCACCTTGGTGTGTTTGATCGAGTCATCCTGTTCTTCACAGAGGACACGTACGGATCGGCTCTGGGCTATGATATCGAGGTGAGATTTGTTGGTGTGCGCACAGGCATTGTTACAGGCACCTTGGTGTGTTTGATCGAGTCATCCTGTTCTTCACAGAGGACACGTACGGATCGGCTCTGGGCTATGATATCGAGGTGAGATTTGTTGGTGTGCGCACAGGCATTGTTACAGGCACCTTGGTGTGTTTGATCGAGTCATCCTGTTCTTCACAGAGGACACGTACGGATCGGCTCTGGGCTATGATATCGAGGTGAGATTTGTTGGTGTGCGCACAGGCATTGTTACAGGCACCTTGGTGTGTTTGATCGAGTCATCCTGTTCTTCACAGAGGACACGTACGGATCGGCTCTGGGCTATGATATCGAGGTGAGATTTGTTGGTGTGCGCACAGGCATTGTTACAGGCACCTTGGTGTGTTTGATCGAGTCATCCTGTTCTTCACAGAGGACACGTACGGATCGGCTCTGGGCTATGATATCGAGGTGAGATTTGTTGGTGTGCGCACAGGCATTGTTACAGGCACCTTGGTGTGTTTGATCGAGTCATCCTGTTCTTCACAGAGGACACGTACGGATCGGCTCTGGGCTATGATATCGAGGTGAGATTTGTTGGTGTGCGCACAGGCATTGTTACAGGCACCTTGGTGTGTTTGATCGAGTCATCCTGTTCTTCACAGAGGACACGTACGGATCGGCTCTGGGCTATGATATCGAGGTGAGATTTGTTGGTGTGCGCACAGGCATTGTTACAGGCACCTTGGTGTGTTTGATCGAGTCATCCTGTTCTTCACAGAGGACACGTACGGATCGGCTCTGGGCTATGATATCGAGGTGAGATTTGTTGGTGTGCGCACAGGCATTGTTACAGGCACCTTGGTGTGTTTGATCGAGTCATCCTGTTCTTCACAGAGGACACGTACGGATCGGCTCTGGGCTATGATATCGAGGTGAGATTTGTTGGTGTGCGCACAGGCATTGTTACAGGCACCTTGGTGTGTTTGATCGAGTCATCCTGTTCTTCACAGAGGACACGTACGGATCGGCTCTGGGCTATGATATCGAGGTGAGATTTGTTGGTGTGCGCACAGGCATTGTTACAGGCACCTTGGTGTGTTTGATCGAGTCATCCTGTTCTTCACAGAGGACACGTACGGATCGGCTCTGGGCTATGATATCGAGGTGAGATTTGTTGGTGTGCGCACAGGCATTGTTACAGGCACCTTGGTGTGTTTGATCGAGTCATCCTGTTCTTCACAGAGGACACGTACGGATCGGCTCTGGGCTATGATATCGAGGTGAGATTTGTTGGTGTGCGCACAGGCATTGTTACAGGCACCTTGGTGTGTTTGATCGAGTCATCCTGTTCTTCACAGAGGACACGTACGGATCGGCTCTGGGCTATGATATCGAGGTGAGATTTGTTGGTGTGCGCACAGGCATTGTTACAGGCACCTTGGTGTGTTTGATCGAGTCATCCTGTTCTTCACAGAGGACACGTACGGATCGGCTCTGGGCTATGACATCGAGGTGAGATGTGTGAGTGTGCAAAGTGGCTTGGCAATCGGTAATATTGTGTTTAAGCGAGTCATCCTCTTCTTCACAGAAGACACGTATGGCTCAGCGCTGGGCTATGACATCGAGGTGAGCGGGGTGCACTATGGCATGTGTGGATGGGTACTTGGTTGCTTGCTTGATTGCATGTGTGCACGCGTGCGTTTCAGCATTTGAGCATGCTTGATTGCATGTGTGCACGCGTGCGTTTCAGCATTTGAGCATGCTTGATTGCATGTGTGCACGCGTGCGTTTCAGCATTTGAGCATGCTTGATTGCATGTGTGCACACGTGCGTTTCAGCATTTGAGCATGCTTGATTGCATGTGTGCACGCGTGCGTTTCAGCATTTGAGCATGCTTGATTGCATGTGTGCACGCGTGCGTTTCAGCATTTGAGCATGCTTGATTGCATGTGTGCATGCGTGCGTTTCAGCATTTGAGCATGTGTGTACGCACATGCTTACATACTTGCATGGGTTCCTTTCTGTTTGACCGACTCGTCCTATTATTGACAGAGGAGACGAACGGATCAGCGTTAGGGTATGATGGAATGCCAAGTTCACCCCTATTCATGCGCACATGCGTACTGAGCATGTGTGCATTCTCGTATGTTTATGATGAGATGCCAAGTTCACCCCCCCTCGCCGCTGACGTCTCCTCCCCTCAGTATTTCTGCTTCAACTACTCCTCTCCCTCTCTTGCTTGATATCCACCCCCCCTCGCCGCTGACCTCTCCTCCCCTCAGTATTCCGCTCGCTGTGACAACCTCACAGTGCATAGCATACCCGTGCCAGTGCCCTGCCTCAACTACTCTCTCTGCGTTGCTTGATGCCCCCTCTCTCTCTCCGTCTTCATATCCTCCCCTTCCCTCCTGTACTTCGCTCGGAGTGGCAACCTCACAGTGCACAGCATACCCTTGCCAGTACCCTGCACCAACCACTCCTCTCTTTCCCTCAACCTCCCCTCCATATCCTTCCCTCCACCCCCTCCCTCCAGTACTTCGCACGCAGTGACAACCTGACAGTGCATAGCATACCCCTACCAGTGCCCTGCTCCAACTGCTCCTCTCTCTCCCTCAACCTCTCCTTTCTTCTCCCCTCCCCACCCCTCTTCTCCCCTCACCCACAACCCTCCAGTACTTTGCTCGCAACGACAACGTCACGGTCCACAGCATACCCGTCCCAGTGCCCTGCTCCAACCACTCCCCTCTCTTCCTCAACCTTTCCTCCGTTTCCTCCCCTCCTCCCCTCCTCCCCTGTTCCCTACCCATCCTTCCAGTATTTCGCGCGCAGTGACAACCTCACAGTCCACAGCATTCCTGTCCCAGTGCCCTGCCTCAACTACTCCTCTCTCTTCCTCAACCTCTCCGATCCAAGCCCCTCCAAGCCACTCATTCAAGCCGATGACTCCACGGTTGTAGTCCTCGCCGTCTCGCCCAACGCAGCTGAAGGCATTTGGAGGGCGGCTCTAGACCTGGTGAGTGGAGCAGTGCTGATGAAAACTCCGTAGAGCCTAGTGCATACCTGAATTCCCTTGAGAAATTCCCTACCTGAATTTGGAGGCATTTGGAGGGCAGTGCTAGTGCTACCTGAATTCCCTTGAGAAATTCCCTACCTGAATTTGGAGGCATTTGGAGGGCAGTGCTAGTGCTACCTGAATTCCCTTGAGAAATTCCCTACCTGAATTTGGAGGCATTTGGAGGGCAGTGCTAGTGCTACCTGAATTCCCTTGAGAAATTCCCTACCTGAATTTGGAGGCATTTGGAGGGCAGTGCTAGTGCTACCTGAATTCCCTTGAGAAATTCCCTACCTGAATTTGGAGGCATTTGGAGGGCAGTGCTAGTGCTACCTGAATTCCCTACCTGCCTAGTGCATACCTGAATGCCTGAATTCCCTTGAGAAACTGCCCCCTCCAAGCCGCTCATTCAAGCCGATGACTCCACAGTGGTGGTCCTCGCCGTCTCACCCAACGCAGCCGAAAGCATCTGGCGGGCTGCATTAGACCTGGCGAGTGCTAATATCCCAATTGGGTGAGTGATTCGGCAACACTGCCCAAGCCCCGCCAAGCCGCTCATTCAAGCCGATGACTCCACAGTGGTGGTGCTCGCCGTCTCGCCCAATGCAGCCGGGGGCATCTGGCGTGCGGCTCTCGACCTGGTGAGTGGAGCAGTGCCCTGGCAAGTGACGAGGCACTGCCTGCCGCAAACTTCCTTGAGTTGAAGTAGATAGGTCCCTGATGCTGCAGGGATTTTTTGGGAATTCTAAAAAAAACTCATTCGAGCCGATGACTCCACAGTCGTGGTGCTTGCCGTCTCAACAAATGCAGCCGAGGGCATCTGTCGTGCGGCTCTAGACCTGGTGAGTGATATCCCCTTCAAATCTGGTCTCTCCAATTCCTTTTGAGTCGACTCAAAAGTCGGCTCTAGACCTGGTGAGTGATATCCCCTTGATCTGGTCTCTGCAATACCCTCCACGCCCCTCCACACCCCTCCACGCCCCTCCACGCCCCTCCACGCCCTTTCAAGCCCCTCACTCATTCACCCAGGTTCCCCATTCTTCCTTGCCCCCCCCTTGCGGAAACCACGTCTAGTTTTGAGGCGCCTCAAAACTAGGCCTCCACGCCCTTTCATGCCCTTTCAAGCCCCTCACTCATTCACCAGGCTCCCCGTTCTTCCTCCCCCCTCTTGCGGAAACCACACCAGGGTCGGTTGGAATATCCTTGGTGGTATTTCGGGACGGATGGAGCAGTGGCATTCGACCTTGTGGGGGAAGGTGAGACGGGGGATCCGGGGAAGGGGGAAACTGGGGGAGGGGGATACTGGGAAACCACCAGGGTCGGTTGGAATACCCTTGGTGGTATTATGGCACGGATGGAGCAGTGGCATTCGATCTCATGGGGGAAGGTGGGCAGGGGGGTCGGGTCAGTGGTTTCATTTGCCTGCCCCGTGCGGGCCGACCCGACCCGACCCGGGCTAAAACCCGACCCGAGCATGGAACTCGGGCCGAGTCGGGTCGGGTTTCGGATCAGGCTTGACCCGACCGGAATTCGGGTCAGGACCAGGGATATCGGGTCGGGCTTTTGGCCCGACCCGATTTCGACACACTGGGGACGAAACCCTTGGTCAAATTGTTGTAGAGGGGTTTTTTATCCCCTCGACATCAGAAGCTACCCACGCTCTCAATCTTGCCTAACGGCAGCAATCAAGTCACCTAAGCTTAGAAACTACTTTGTTACCACCCGTTCAAACCTCATTGATGGACATTTATAGCTATTTTACTATCGTATCCTGCTGTTTCCGGATAATCGCGGTGCAGGAATGGCGTTTTTTTACAACATCGCGTTTTACTAGCGATACTTCAATTCACAGGCTGCACGCTTCGTTTTAGGCCATCAGTTGCTCATAGGCGCGCCAGCTACTAACATTGCACCATTTCGTAGAGGTTCTTAGGGGCCATCCTGGGCGGGTCATCCTGGCCTGGCCCGACCCGACCCGTGACCGGGTCCAAGTTGACCCGAGTGTGTAGGCCTGGGGCGGGTCATCCTGGCCCGAGGTTGGCCCGACCCAACCCGACCCGGGAGCCCGTGTGGCCCGGCCAAGTCGGGTCGGGTCGGGTCGGGTCGGGTCGGGTCGGGCCGGGCCGGGCCGGACGCTCATCTCTATGGGGAAGGTGAGTTGAGGGGTCTAGTGATGTGTAGCCTAGCATGGCTGGCTGCTGAAGTGGTGGAAATTGGAATATCCGTGGTGGTATTTCGGCACGGATGGAGCAGTGGCATTTGAGACGTCTCAAAACTGAATATTCCTTGGTGGTATTTCGGCACGGATGGAGCAGTGGCATTCGACCTTGTGGGGGAAGGTGAGAAGGGGGGGTCTGGGAAGGTGGGAACTGGGGAATGGGGATCCGGGGAAACCACCAGGGTCGGTTGGATATTGGGTGAGATCTCCTGCCCATTCTCGTCTCCTCTCCTGCTTGTGTGGCGTCTCAAAAGGTGAGCAATGAGGGAGCCACGGAAGGTGGCTAGTGCCAGTCAGGAAAAGGGAAAAATATTGGGTGAGTTGTACTGCCCATTCTCCTCTCTGTTTTTTTTGTATTCTTAAAATACAGTCTACTTTTGAGGCGCCTCAAAAGTAGAATTCTCAAAATACAGTCAGGAAAGGGAAAAATATTGGGTGAGTTGTACTGCCCATTCTCGTCTCGTCTCCTCTCCTGCTTGTGTCCCAACCTCGCTATATTGAGAATCTCGAAAAGCGATTCTAAAAAACGATTCTCTAAAGTGACTCGTAGAAGCAGGTGATCCTCCTCACTTCTCCTGCTTGTATCCCAACCTCGCTATATTGCAGTCCGACAATTCCGAAAAGCGGTTCGCAAATGTGACTCTTAGAAGCGACTCATTCTCCTCACTCTCCTGCTTGTGTCCCAACCACTCGTCCACCAATGCATATCGTTTTTTAGGCGCCTCTTAGAAGCGACTCGTTAGAAGCAACTCTTTCTCCTCTCTTCTCCTGCTTGTTTCCCGACCTCCCGACCGCCACTGCAGGCCAGAACCTGACAGCCTTAGCGTCAGCACTGCAAGGGGAGATGGGGATCGCCCCTTACAGTAAGTGCGGAGTGAATATAACGAAGGCGTGTCAACACGGTGCTTCTGAGGTATCTTGAGAATACTTTTGACTTTTGAGTCGACTCAAAGCAGATTCTTACAGTAAGTGGAGACTAGGAATTAAGATAGGCGTCAGCATGGTGCTTCTCAGGTATCTTGAGAATACACTACTGCAGGTCAGAACCGGTCAAAACCTGGTTTTTGAGAATTCTGAAAATTTCAGAACCTGTCAAAACCTAGCACTATCATGGGGATTGCTCCTTACAGTAAGTGAAGCTACCAACAGCCTGGAATATTTCTTTACCAGGAGAGCACATAATGCATTAGCAGTCCAAGCGGCATGACATCTACCCTGTTCCACGTTCATATGAACCCCTCCCCCTGTTGCCCCCAACCTCCATTGTACAGGGGGAGACTATTCAGACTCCTCCCCTCTATGCGCTCTATGGGTACATAATGCACTGGCGGACCAAGTGCCATGACATCTACCCGGGTTTGCTCACTCTCAACGTCGGGCCCACCTCTACCCCTCCCTTCTGCCTATGTCATTCCCTCGCTTACAGAGGGAGACTACTCGGACTCGTCCCCTATATGGGAATACATAATGCATTGGCAGTCCAAGCGGCATGACATCTACCCGGGTCTGCTCACTCTCGATGTCGGGCCCTCCCTCCCCCGCTTCAACACCACCCGCCAATACGTGCCGTACCTGTTTGATGCTGTTCACGCCTTCTTCGAAGCTTTCAGCAGCATTATTGCCAGCCAGAGTGAGTGTCTTGGTGGGTGGGGTGTGGATTTTACTTGGATCCCTCTATCCCTGCCCCACCTTCCCCCACCTCACTCTCCCCCGCTTCAACACCACCCTCCAATACGTGCCGTACCTGTTTGATGCTGTTCACGCCTTCTTCGAAGCTTTCAGCAGCATTATTGCCAGCCAGAGTGAGTGTCTTGGTGGGTGGGGTGTGGATTTTACTTGGATCCCTCTATCCCTGCCCCACCTTCCCCCACCTCACTCTCCCCCGCTTCAACACCACCCGCCAATACGTGCCGTACCTGTTCGACACCGTTCACCCCTTCTTCGAAGCATTCAGCAGCATCATTGCCAGCCAGAGTGAGTGTCTCTTCGACCTTCCCTATGGTTGATGAGTACAGCGACCAGAATGAGGGTACAGCCCTCAACACCACCCGCCAATACGTGCCGTACCTGTTCGATACCGTTCACCCCTTCTTTGCTTGTATCGCTAGGCGACTTTTGAGTCGACTCAAAAGTCGTATCGCTTCTGAGAGTTCTCAAAATTGTCTCCAATATTGTTTCCACGTGTGTGTCTCCAATTCGCAGATGCAACACCCACTAAGGAGCTTGTGCTGGCGTGCTTTAAAGGTGTTTTGAGACGTCTTAAAGCCCAACATTGTTCTGTGTGTTTCCACGTGTGTGTCTCCAATTCGCAGATGCAGCACCCACTAAGGAGCTTGTGCTGGCGTGCTTTAAAGGTGTTTTGAGACGTCTTAAAGCCCAACATTGTTCTGTGTGTTTCCACGTGTGTGTCCCCAATTAGCAGATGCAGCACCCACTAAGGAGCTTGTGCTGGCGTGCTTTAAAGGTGTTTTGAGACGTCTTAAAGCCCAACATTGTTCTGTGTGTTTCCACGTGTGTGTCCCCAATTCGCAGATGCAGCACCCACTAAGGAGTTTGTGCTGGCGTGCTTTAAAGGCGTGCCGCGTGGATGCGTCAACTTCACGGGAACCACAGGGCAGGTGAGGAGAGGAGGGCAAGGGTCAGACTATGTGTGTGTTCCATGTATGTTTCTGCAACTGCAAGTGACACTTGCGCTGGGAAGGGGTGTGCTGGCGTGCTTTCGAGGCGTGCCGCAACGATGCGCTGTCTTCACGGGGATGATTCGACGACAGGTGAACAGCTCAAGTTTGTAGCCCCTCCGACCGACCGCATTGTGGTTTTGAGACGTCTCAGTTGTCCTCCCACTGTCCCCATCCACCCCTTCACCACCAGGTCTCATTCACCCCAGCTACAGGCGAGCGATTGAAATCTGTAGCCCCTCCGACCGACCGCATTGTGGTTTTGAGACGTCTCAGTTGTCCTCCCACCGTCCCCATCCACCCCTCCACCACCAGGTCTCATTCACCCCAGCTACAGGCGAGCGATTGAAATCTGTGGCCCCTCCGACCGACCGCATTGTGGTTTTGAGACGTCTCAGTTGTCCTCCCACTGTCCCCATCCACCCCTTCACCACCAGGTCTCATTCACCCCAGCTACAGGCGAGCGATTGAAATCTGTAGCCCCTCTGACCGACCGCATTGTGGTTTTGAGACGTCTCAGTTGTCCTCCCACTGTCCCCATCCACCCCTTCACCACCAGGTCTCATTCACCCCAGCTACAGGCGAGCGATTGAAATCTGTGGCCCCTCCGACCAACCGCATTGTGGTTTTCAGACGTCTCAGTTGTCCTCCCACCGTCCCCATCCACCCCTCCACCACCAGGTCTCATTCACCCCAGCTACAGGCGAGCGAGTGAAATCTGTAGCCCCTCCGACCGACCGCATTGTGGTTTTCAGACATCTCAGTTGTCCTCCCACCGTCCCCATCCACCCCTCCACCACCAGGTCTCATTCACCCCAGCTACAGGCGAGCGATTGAAATCTGTGGCCCCTCCGACCGACCGCATTGTGGTTTTGAGACGTCTCAGTTGTCCTCCCACCGTCCCCATCCACCCCTCCACCACCAGGACTCATTCACCCCAGCTACAGGCGAGCGATTGAAATCTGTGGCCCCTCCGACCGACCGCATTGTAAATCTGGAGGGCGTGACGTGGCAGCAGAAGGCCCGCTGGGAGGAGCGGCACGTGGAGCGCTTCACTCTCTCTCACTCCCCTCCCATACCCATACCCGTCCTCCCATCACCAGGTATCCTTCAACCCAGCTACAGGCGAGCGCTTGAAATCTGTGGCCCCACCGATCTACAGCATTGTAAATCTGGAGGGCGTGACGTGGCAGCAGAAGGCCCGCTGGGAGGAGCGGCACGTGGAGCGGTTCACTCTCGACCTCTCCCAGATCTCCCGCCCGGGTCCTCTGCCCGGTGCTGCTGGTGCTGGTGCTGGTGCTGGTGGTGGCAGTGGTGGTGGGACCAGTGGTGGTGCTGGCAATGGCAGTGCAGCAGGGGTGAAAGAGGCAGGTGACTACTCAGCTCCTGCTGCGTTTGATGCCTTGAATCAGGTCAGTGGGGAGATCGGGGACTTTGGTGTGAAGAGCCAAGCTGAGGCGGCAGGCGACAGCAGCAGCAGTGGTAGCGGCAGTGGTAGCGGCAGCAACAGCAGTGGTGGTGGTACTAGTGGCGGCAGTAACAGTGGCACGAGCCCGTCAACTGGTTCCTCCATGCCTGGTTATACCATCGCTCTGCTTGTTCTCCTTTCTCTCACGCTCCTGTGCCTTGTATCGTACCTGGCTTATATGGGGTACAGCAGTTGGAGGAGGAGGGAGGAGGAGGGGGAGGGGCAGCAGCAATTGTATGGGGGATCATCTGGAGGTGATGTGTATTTGGCAGGGTTCAAGGGAGGAGAGGTGGGGGGAGAGGAGTATGTGAGGAGGTACAATGGAGATGGGGAGTGGATAGGTGGGGGGAGTTGGGCCGGGGGATTTGGGTTAGGGAGTGGGTTCAGAAGTGGGTTTGGCTTTGGGGGTGGGGGTGGGGGGATTGGTGGGGATGAGGAGTTGGTTCTGGGTGAAGGGAAGGGGGATGGAAGTGGGAGGAAGGGAGATGGAGGGGAAGGAATGGTAGATGCTAGCATGGACGATGTGGATACTGCTGCTGCTGACGAGGGTCATCATAAGCAAGTGTGGGTGCATATGCTATAGTATCAAAAACTGCCGTACGTGCGGTCATGTATACGTGTTTATAGTTTGCAGGTGATGTGTGTGCAAATGTACAGGACGTGCGGGCATGACTTGTTACAATAGTGTGCTTGTGAGTGGGCCTTTGCGATTCTTTGATTAGATAGCCTAAAAGAATATACTAAGATGAGCAAAGAGAATGAATGATCATGTTCCCAACTATTTCACAGCCCTCTGCTACATGTATGCACATGGTAGCAAGTCAGGTATTCAGCGCCAGACGAGAATGTTACTTATTGAACAGCTTATCAAGTCACTTTTCCATTAAGACAATCGGGATATGGTCTAACGAGAAAATCTAGTTCTGCCCCGCTGTCCTGCTTTTTGCCGCGTTGCTTCCCCGTACCCTCCCTGACAGTCCAGCGCATTCTGGATGTCGGCGGCGTCACTCGAAGGGAGCTGTCCCCATGCGCGACAGCTCACCGTTTGCGCGGCCTGGAAACGCCCCTTCACCCCTCGAAAACGCCGTACCATCCCTGAAACCACTCTTCGACCAACTAAACCCCTACCTGTCGCGGAGGTTGGGCGCAGGAAACCAGGAAAATCACCCCCCTGACTGGTGCAGCGCGCGGAGGATCATTCAGGCGAGGAACAGTTCATAATTGCCTGAAAGTTGATATCCGTTATGCAATTCCCGCAGGCAAGATTAGCACTTAGCACTTCGCCATAACCCCGCCTTTAGACCGACTCGGTTATTGCATCAGCGCGTCGTAGTTTATCATGGCTGCTCTCGCGTCGGTCTCTGCTGCTGCTCTCTCGAGCTCGTTCGTCCAGACCTCTTCTCTGATGTCGTCTGTGAAGCCCATCAGTGTTCGCAGCACCCGTGCGGTCCGCATCGTGGCCATGGCCCAGCCTGATCTGAAGAAGGAGATTCAGGAGAAGATCGCTGCTGCTCAAGAGACCTGCTCCGATCCGAACTCCACCGCTGAGTGCGCCGCTGCGTGGGATGAGGTGGAGGAGATCTCAGCTGCCGCTGCTGATCAGGCGTTGAAGCAGAAGGCAGCGGATTACGAGGACCCCCTTGAGAAGTACTGCAACGAGAATCCCTCTGAGGATGAGTGCAGGATCTACTCTGACTGAGCGATTTACTGGTAGTATACATGTGGATTTTTAGTCAGTCAGATTAGCCTAGCCATGATGTCCATAGACGGATCTTTTACTTGGCAAGGGCTGAGCTATGCCTGTTCGTTTTGCGTTCCATAAATAACTTCTGGTTTGACCTGACACAATGGTTGTGATGTGAAGGCTATGGTATATCCTTTTCTGAACACACTAATTCTTGACGTTTCCGTGGCATACGGTGACTGGGTGGTGCTGCGTGGTTTGTTGGGGACGTGAAACTAAGCAGCAAATATGGTTTGTTGCCTCTTCCCGCAAGTGAAATGAAGCATAGGTGACGGAACGTAGGTATTTGTTTTTTTTTTTTTTTCAGAATGCAGCACTGACCATGTCATCTCTGTGCGCATGGTACTTACCAGATGGGGATTTTCATACAAGGACGGGAATATTAAAATGTAGGTTTAGAGCTATGCTCTTGCTGGGAATTTATGAGAAGGGTATGAATGACAATGCGTAAATCATATCATATTTGGATTAGGTGAAGTGAACGTATATTTGGCATTTGTTATGTAGATAGGATGTCACTGTACTGGAATGTGTAAATCCGCGAATATTACTGGAGCGATGGATTGAGTGTCACCAAACCTTTGGATCTTTCATGAGAAGCATAGCACCGGACTGCAACTACAACGTGAAAACGCAATTTCACAAATGCAGAGCTGGGGGATGTTTCAGCAAGTGACCTGGATTGGATCAGTTTTGGAGACTTCCACTTCGCCAGCGTGGCAATTCGACCTCGGCATGGCCATCTTTCCCGACATTCTTGGCCCCACCCCTATCCACGTGTCAGATCGAATCATCCCAGAGGTGTCCATGCCCTCTGCTTTTCCGAGGGTGGCAATATCCACCACGTGTACCGTTGTCAAGCCACGAAGGTGCAGCACTCGAGACCAGCTTCAGCACAGGCAGGAACTCGCGAAACCGTCAGCAATTCCGTCCGTTTTCAGGAACTCCGTCAGCTTGTCCGTCAATCTTTGGTTGAGCTTGAATACTCCTCCAACGAAAGACATTGGAGTTGCAAGGCAAGACGCATTCTAGTTTCTTGTCTGGTCACGCATATTCAAGGGTGTTCCATCCAATCTTACTCCAAATACCGTCAGGAGACCGTATTTTAGTGACTATTTAGCAATGGCTGCCATTCTTGCGGTCTCCGCCGGTGTTTCATCCGCTGTCGCCTTCAGGCGCAGCTCTTTCGTCCAGACCGCCTCCCTGAAGTCCTCCTCGCTCTCTGTCCGCAGCATCCGTTCTGTCCGCATTGTCGCCATGGCTCAGCCTGAGGCCAAGGAGGCTGAGGAGGAGAAGGCTGCGGAGGAGAAGGCCAAGGCAGAGGAGGCTGCTGCTGCTGCTGCTGAGAAGACTGAGGAGAAGAAGGAAGCCTACACGGACCCTCTTGACGCGTTCTGCGACGACAACCCCGCTGCTGACGAGTGCAGGATTTATGAGGATTAAGCTATTTCGTTGAGTCGCAGCGTTTGTCTCATGCTCTGTCGCAGCAGGGTAGCTTTGAGTCGTGTACATCAATTGTTTGCACATAGGCGGATTGCTGGAGCGGATGTGGCTGCCGCGGTTTGCCCTCCCTAGGAATATCCATTGTTCTGATTTGACGAAGTGGACTATTCCTTGCTAATTCAGCGTATTCCCCGTTTCCTTTGCCTAGTCACGTGGCAGTGCAGGGTATGGACCGAGTTCTTGGGAATTCTGAGCTCTCTCCAAGCAATGTTGTACAAATGCCCCTTACTCTTTCTCATGGCCAGTCAGAAGAAATCTTACTGAAATTATGGGAAAAAAAACAACAATTGGTTGGGATCCGAGGTGAACCAAGCAATGCATGCTGCCAATCTAGTCACCGTCAGATTGCCTCACTATCCGCCGCCTCATTATAGACCCCCCTGAAGAGCTTGACACGCCAGCTCCTTTCTGCCGTCTCCCTGCCAATTCAATCAGCTCTTGCCGCACCGCATCCACCTCCTCGAAACCCACAGAAACAACACCAGCACTCCTTTCTCCCATCTCAATGCCTTGGCTAGAAGCCCACCCCGCAGTTAGTGGTGGTACCGACACTCCCTGCTTCCTAGCAGCCTTTTTGCTGCGTTGCTTGGCTTGTTTCTCCTCAAGCTGAGTTGTACGGATGATGAAGAGCGTGGTTTCTAGCAGCATGCCGAATATCAAACCCACTGCACCTCCCACCGGGTGCTGCCATGTGAAACAAAGAGGAAAAAAAAGAGGTTGAGACAGGGACAAAGGGAAATAGGAATGCAGGGACAGGAAACAAAGAGGTTGAGACAGGGTGTTGGTAAACACAAGCTTCGAAAAAAAAAAAACTCAACTGCACCTCCCACCACATGCTACCGTGTGAGGGAGGGGATATGGCATGGTGATTGAAAAGGCACCCAGAACACTTCAAACCTGATGAACATCATACCCACCATCACCGATGAACGATTGACTCGACAAATCTGCTCGTCCAGACTGCATAGCCTACGGCATTGACTCTTACCACTGGAGACACGCAAAACACTTGAAGAACACTCAGAAGAACCTGATGAACATCATACCCACCATCACCGATGAAGGATTGACTTGCCAAATCTGCTGGCCAAGTCTAAATAGCCCACAGCACTGACGCTTACCAGGGGAGCTTACCAGGGAAGCTTACCAGGGAAGCTTACCAGGGGAGCTTACTAGGGGAGCTTACCAGTGCAGGCTGGTCTTTGATGAGAGCAGAAGCAGCAAAGTGACCCAAGAGGTAACATGTGAACATCACACCCACCACATGCATGCCTGCTCGGGACGGGATGAAGAAAGAATCGAGGAAAACAATGTAAGGCAACTGCATGTGAGAGCGGGAGGGTTCTATGCAAATTCTGGTGACCCAAGAGGTAGCACGTGAACATCACACCCACCACATGCATGCCTGCTCGGGACGGGATGGAAAGAGAATCGAGGAAAAGAATGAATGACAACTTCGGTCAAGCAAGTGCCACAGCTCTGTCAAGCCACGAAACTCTCACGACTTTTTGAGTCAACCAAACGAATTGAGCCTTTTTTTAGTCGACTCGAAACACAACTCTCACGACTGCTTTTGAGTCAACCAAACAATGAATCTCGCGACCTGGCAGGCTGTGAAAGTGGCAAATACGATAGGTGATTTCTGGGTCGACTCTAGAGTCACATGAAACTCACTTTTGACCAGAACGGGTTGAGGACGGCAGTGGCAAGCTACGTTGATGGGACTTTTGAGTTTTCTCAAAAGTCACATCGACTCAAAAGTCACATGGAACTCACTATTGACCAGAACTTTTAGAGGACAGCAGTGGCAAGTTGACAAATGTGACATCTTGTAACCATCCAAAACAAAAAAAAGTGCAATTCGAGCTCACCAAACCCTAGCTGCTCTCTGTACGATGCCAGGTACGAGCTCCCCCCCTGCCCTTCCAGATCTTCCTCATCATCAACACCAGCAGCAGCACCAGCACTGACTGACGAATCATTGGGCGTAACATATGAGTAAAGAAGATGCACTCACCAAACCCTAGCTGCTCTCTGTACGATGCCAGGTACGAGCTCCCCCCTTGCCCTCCGAAATCCTCCTCATCGTCAACACCACCAGCACCACCGATTGCCCCTCTCCCTTTTGCTCCCTTGGGGACCACGTCTCTCACGAGCTCTCTGTACTGCCTCTGCTCCTCCGCTTCCTTGAGAGCAGCCAGGCGAGCTTCCAGCTCCGCACTCTGTGGGAAGAGGAAGGAAGCACGCCAAAGCGAGTGGGGAGAGGGACGAGGTTATAGAGAGCTCTCTGTACTGCCGCTGCTCCTCCGCTTCCTTGAGAGCAGCCAGGCGAGCTTCCAACTCAGTACTCTGTGGGAAGAGAAGTGGAGGGAGGGGAGAGAGAGAAGTGGTGACTAGGAGCCTCCAGCTCTCTGTACCGCCTTCCCTCCTCCGCTTCTTTCAAAGCAGACAAACGAGCTTCCAGCTCCGCACTCTGTGGGATGAGAAGTGGAGGCAGGGGAGAAAGGGAAGAGGTGATTGAAAGCTCTCTGTACCGCCTCTGCTCCTCCGCTTCCCTGACATCAGCAAGACGAGCTTCCAGCTCCGCACTCTGTGGGACGCGAAGTGGAGGGAGGGGAGAGGGGGAAGAGTTGACTGAGCAACTTCAGGGCGACTCGCACGAGCTCTCTGTACTGCCTCTGCTCCTCCGCTTCCTTCAGAGCAGCCAGACGAGTTTCAAGCTCCGCACTCTGTGAGAGCAGAGCGGAGAGAGGGGGGAGAGGGAAGAGATGATTGAGGGCTCGCTGTACCGCACCTGCTCACCACCAGCACCAGTTGCTGCCCCTCTCCCTTTTGCTCCCTTGGGAACCAGGTCTCTCACGAGCTTCCAGCTCCGGACTCTGAAGGGCAGGAAGGGGGATGGATGCCGAAAGAAGGAGGGAGAGAAAAGACCTGATTGAGAGCTAATCGCGCCGCCTCCCCTCCTCCGCTTCCTTCAAAGCAGCCAGGCGAGCTTCAAGCTCCGCACTCTGCGGGAAGAGAGGAGCAAAGTAGGGTGGACGGCGATTATGGGAAAATAAAATGAGGAGCACACAAAACAGATCCTCAACGGAAGAAGGAAAAAAAAAAAGAGGATCTTTGAATGGCCAATCCGAGTCAAGATTGCACGTCCGGCCGTACCTTCTTTGGAGGCTCGGGGGGAGCAGGCAGCAGCACGTGAGACCCTTCCAGCACCTCGTGCAGGAGCCAATCAGAACTCTTGGCGCTGCTAGCAATTCCGCTGCTCGCAATTTCGCTCCTCGCGGTGTCGCTGTTGCTTGTCTTGCCGCTGCTCGGGGCATCGCTCATCGTGTTTTCTCGTACAGGACTAACGCCTGATGCTTCCTGCCGTGCTTCTGATTCGCTCACTTCGCTCGTCTCGCAGCTGTCGCTCGGCGAAATTTGACCCGTCCTTGTGTTACCACTCTCTTCGCTGTGGTCGCTGCGGTCGCTGCGATCTAATCTCTGCCGTTCGCGTAAAGCGGACCACGCGGCGCGGACCACGGCGTACGGAATCGCATCGCCGTCTTTAGTCGACGCGTACTGTTTGAACTTCGCCGTCAGTTCTGACGGCGCGGCTATCTTCTGATCGTCAGAATCGCCGGCAGCCGTCCGATCCGCGATCTGAGATGAAGGAACGGCTCCCACAGTCTCCAGCGCGGCGTTTAACATTTTTCTGAGATTAGGCGTGGATGAGAGGTGTAGGCACGGTGACGCCATAATTGACAGAATCTCTACAGCGACAACAAAGCACACGCTCGGAGAGAAGTACGGAAGGAAAAAGGAAGAAGAAGAAGCGAGGCGAAACGGCGGTTAGGTCGGCCCCGGTTGTGCTGTGCGGAGAGTGAAGTGTAATAAAGCAGTCAATGATTTGAAAAAGCCGTCAGGAGAATCCGCCTGAAGTAGGAGAGAAAGAAGTTAAGTGTCAGGAAAAGGCATTCAGACAAAGGTGGAAGTTCTGCAGGTAATATCTGACACGAGATTCAGATGAAAACGGTTGAGTACGATGCTGAGAAACCAGATACGGTTTTTTTCTCTTAGCCGCTTTGAACCCCTTTTTACCATGCACTGAAATCGAACCAATATTGATTCCTCAACTTTCATTCCTGTACTGAAACAAGAGAAACACGTCCTCATCTATTATGCTCCACACCTTCTGTTCTCTTCACACGTACGCTTTTTTGTACTTGGTTTCTCACAAGCTCTTATTCCTTTCTCAGTTTCCGGGTTTCCCGCTCCCAAACTGGGTGCTTACTGAGTGTAACGGCATGGACTTGGTGTTCTGCGGCCGATATGTTCAGTACCCCGCTTAGGCCAGCCAATTCTGAGCCTTAACACCGCCTAGTGCCATCTTATCGTTAGCGCCTTATATCGCGTACTTCCTATTTCTTCTACGCATCACTCTCCTGCGTGCGAGGGTTCTCTGCTAAACGATGGCCGGAGCGTCACTAGGCGTGTGCCACGTAAACCACTCGGATATGATGTACCGGATCGCGCCTTCAGGCTCTGCGTTACCCCGACGCGTACTTAATAGCATAAATAGATACACAAGACAGGCAATGCCGGCATTATCGGCCAGAAATTTAGGACTAATTACACAACCTAGTACTAGCCTCAGCAGCTGCTCGTCCGCGATAGAAGCTTCCTCAATACTCTCGATAGGAACTCCCGCGAATCCCTTGCTATCGCGTCACAACTCGTTACAGAGATTTCTGTCGCACTCACGTCCTGCAATTTTTGAGTCCAAGGGGTTGAGAGCGGGTTACCACATGGGTGGATACCCCACGTGGGGTTACCACATGAGGGGTTACCACGTGGCGGGTTACCACATCACGAGTAAACATCAGGGATTTCTGGGAATAAGCCTAGACAGATCGGAAGTACCAGGGTGAGCGTGGTTGATGCTGCTGACGTGGCAGGGGAGAGTTCTGAGTCGTCTCAGAGTGCTGGTGATGTTGCTGACGTGGCCAAGGGGGAGGCGCAGCAGCAGTTTCCGAGCGGGATGAGTGACCCGGGTTCGAATCCCAGTGGCGGCATTAATGTAATTCTCGGAATTGAGACGAGTTGTGACGACACGGGGGCTGCTGTGGTGAGTGAGTGTGACTGGAGAGCACCCTTGGAGTTTTCGAGGAGCCTTGAATGCACCCTGGTTCTAATCCTCATGTTAGGGGTAATGCACGTTTGGGAAATGAAACACTCTGTGATTACAGGGGTGCTGCTGTGGTGAGCGCGAGTGTGACTGGAGAGCCAGAGTGATCATAGTTGGGGATAACTTGGTCGTAATCAGTAGAGTTTGTCTGCCTTTCTTTGCGCTATTATTTTCTCAACACAGCTTGTGGCAGGTGGCAGATTCTGCATCACAGAATCATTTCTTCTCTTCTCTTTTCTTCAACCCCACCTTGCCCGCTGCAGGTCACATCCGATGGGCGAATTCTGGGGGAGGCCCTCGCATCACAGGTAACACATCACAGCACTGTAGAGTTACTTTTCTCTTTCTAAAACAACTCCTTGACTAATCACTAATTGAGCCTCCTTTTTGCGCCTTGAATAGCTCTAGTTTACTTATAAGAGCTCTGGCATCACAGATATGAGAGCTATGTAGAGTTACTCCTTCCGAGACATGCTCTAACAAGACAGCCGCTTTCCACTCCCTCACCTCTTTTCCACAGGGCAAGGTGCACGCGGAATGGGGGGGAGTGGTGCCGTCCTTGGCACGTGGGGAGCATGAGAAGGCCATAGATCCGGTATTAAGTGGTTCTTTATAAAGCTGTAGACCTGGCTTTACAGAGACTTCTTTCTAATTGTCTCTGTACTGTACTGTTCTTTGACTATTTGTTGTTCTTTGACTGTTTGTTATTGCTTGCATGCTTTTTGTGCCAAGTATGCTAGTTCAACAAGTCTCCAACCCCTTCCATTACCCGTGGCATTCTCCTCCGGCATATATCCTCATTCCCCAACCCTTCTCCACTTTTATCTCGCATCTCCGCGCGTGCGTGTGTTTTTCTTCTTAGTAAGACTACAGAAATCATCTCCATGTGGGTTTGATTCGGTTTGGGTGGGTCCAGGTGGTTCAAGCAGCCCTAGATGAGGCTGGCTTACAGCCGTCGGATCTTTCCGCAGTAGCGGTCACGATCGGCCCAGGGCTCAGCCTGTGCTTAAGAGGTGAGTCTACGCTCGAACCCACTCACTACCTTTGTTAACTTCTCCTCTTATGAGAATCACTTGTGCTGCTGCTGCAATGGATGCACTTGTAGGGAGTTTTTGAGAATTCTCAAAAACTCCCTGTTTAGACTCTGTGCTGGCAATGGATGCCCTTGTTTAGACTCTGTGCTGGCAGTGGATGCCCTTGTTTAGACTCTGTGCTGGCAGTGGCTGCAGTGCTGGCAGTGGATGCAGTGCCATGCCATCCTCTTCGACCATGTCACGTCATGGCAGTGGGAGTGATGAAAGCAAGGAGGATGGCAGCACAGAATGGCATGCATCCCCATCATCATCATCATCCCCATTTCCTCTTCTGTTGCTGCATTGCTTCTCATTTCACTGCGTGTGCATCCCTTGTTGTTTTCGCATCCTTCAACTTTTGACGCACCTCAAAATTCGTCCCTTGTTGCCGCATCTTTCGTATCATCGGAGGGTGGCAGTGGGGGTGATGAAGGCGAGGAGGCTGGCGGCACAGCATGGCATCCCCATCATCCCCATTCACCATATGGAAGCACACGCGCTGGTGGCCAGGTGGGATTATGGGATACTGTACCTACCGTCATACCTATCTGCACACATATGTTGGTGACACAGCACAGCATGGCATCCCCATCATCCCCATCATCCCCATTCACCACATGGAAGCACATGCGCTGGTGGCCAGGTGTATTCTTCACATGCCGACTTCCATTGCAGTACCCATCAACCCCATCACCCCCATCACCCCCATCGCCCCCATCACATCACATCACCCCCATCAACCCCATCACCCCCATCACCCCTATCACCCCCATCACCCCCACCACCCCCATCATCCCCATCACCCCCATCACCCCCACCACCCCCATCACCCCCATCACCCCCACCACCCCCATCACCCCCATCACCCCCACCACCCCCATCACCCCCATCACCCCCATCACCCCCACCCTGATAAAGCCATGCGTGTATGTCAAGAGTGTGCATGTGAAATGTGGTCCCTTGTTCTTTCCCCACCCTTGTGCTGTTTCCCTTCTTCTGCTAGTACAGGCTGATCAATCCTGACGTCACCTTACCCTTCCCCCTCTTCACAAAATGAAAGAAAGAAACGTGATTTTTCTTTTCTCCCACCCCCCCACCCCCCATACAGGCTGATCAATCCTGACGTCACCTTCCCCTTCCTCACGCTTTTGATATCAGGTGTGGTGCCGAGGAGAAGATGCGTGTGCGGTTATGATATGATATGATACAGACTTGTTAGTTTGCGTGTTCCTATTGATGTGTTCCGTTTGATGTGTCTCTATCAGTCTGTTACTATTGATGTGCTCCTTTTGGTGTCTTATTGTCACATCCTCCCCTCCTCCCCTCATCCCTCCCTCCCCCCTTTCTCGGTTCCTCTTAGAAGCGCCGACCATTTGCTATTGTCACATCCTCTCCTTCCTCGGCCCCTTCCCCTCCTCACCTTCCCCTCCTCACCATTTGCTATTGTCACATCCTTTCCCCCTCCCCCTACCCTTTCCCCAACCCCCCGTCCCCCCTTTAGGCGGCCACAATCTTCTGTTATTGTCACATGGGGTGGGGCAGTACACTCAGCTGGGAACCACACTAGACGACGCCATGGGTGAGGTGAGGTGGAGTGCGGTGGGATGGGGTGCAGTGCGGTGACGTGAGGTAGGGTGAGCTGGGGGCTTTTCATGGCTTGAGAGAGTTGGACGAGGTGCTGTGCTGTTATTGTCACATGGCGTGGGGCAGTACACTCAGCTGGGAACAACTCTGGACGGCGCCATGGGTGAGGTGAGGTGGAGTGCGGTGGGGTGCGATCAGGTGGGGTAGGGTGGGGTGGGATGCAGTGCGGTTGGGTGATGAATGGTTTTTCTGGAAAGATGGAATTGGGCAAGTGTTGCTATCGAATCAGTACAGCTGTTGGGCGTTAGACAAGACAGCACAGCTGTTGGGGCTGCACCTGAGAGGGCCAGGTCAGCAGCTGAAGTACATGCCTTTCCCTTACCAACTAACTACTTATTCCGTCCCCACATTCTTTCTCTCCCCCCATTCCACCACCCTCTCACCCCCCCCTCTCTGGGGTTGGAGGGGGCGGGGGAGGAGGGCAGCAACGGAATGACATAAATTTCTCTTACCACGCTTCTTCCCAACCTCCTTTCCCCACCGCTCTCCCAGGCCTTTGACAAGACAGCACGACTTCTGGGGTTGGACCTGTCGGGGCCGGGAGGGGGGAGGGGCAGCGGTTGAGGCGCTGGCGAGAGAAGGGAACAGAGAGAGATTCAAGTTCACTGTAAGGAAAATGTTTCTCTTATTACATGCTTTTGAGTATATGTTTTTTTTTTTTTTTTTTTTTTTTTTTTTTTTTTTTTTTTTTTTTTTTTTTTTTTCTCGCAGTTTCTTATCTTTTCGCTCCACTTCTCTTCACTCCTCTTCCCCTCTCATTTATCCTGGTGCCCCTAGCGCGTGTCAAGAGCTGGGACTTCCCCTTTTCAGCCCTCTCTAACCCAACGTGGCATACCCGCCTTGCCTGTTTTCCCTCGCAATTTTCACGTCCCATGTATCTCTCCTCCCCTGTCATTTATCCAGGTGCACCTAGCGCGTGTCAAGAGCTGTGACTTCTCCTTTTCAGGCCTCAAGGGCAACGTTGCACGCTGCATGTCTCCCCTGTCCGCGCCTCCCCTCATTCTTCTCCTCCCTATCGCCTTCCCCTCTCCCCCACCCACCCATGCATTCAGGTGCTGCTAGCGTGTGTCAAGAGTTGTGACCGCTCCGTCTCAGGCATCAAGGCCAACGTGGCACGCTGCATGTCTCCTCTGTCCGTGTATCCCCGCATGCTCCTTGTTCCTCCCCTGCCCGCACCCATCCAGGTGCCGCTAGCGCGTGTCAAGAGCAAGGATAAAAAAAACGACCGAATTATTGATTTTTTACCGTATTATACGGAATCGTTTTAAACGGTCGTATTATACGGTTAAATACGGTAAAACTGTGTTTTATTATTAAGTTTAAAAATACGGTCGTTTTAAACGACCGAAATTTTGAAAGCGAGACTGTGTTTATCGAATTTCACAATTTTCCCCAAGTAGCCCATCAATTTGTTTTCGGTCGCACAAATAGGCACTCACAGGTACTAATAGGAGGTGAGAAGTAGTGGGTAAGTGTAAGTTGTAGTGGATAGCTCAAAGAGGGAGAGGGGTGATGTTGTGTAGTAGTAGAGTAGTAGTGGTGTACAAGTAGCTAGCTCTATTTCCAGCATGTGTTCTCTTTGGTAGGCTTATATGCCCAGCATTAGCATGTAGTAGGCATTTCAGGCATTTCAGCATTGAAAATTTAAAATAATGCAAAAAAAAAAGTCTATCAAAAAAACGCCGTTTTTTACCAAAAACTGCCGTATAATACAACCGTTTTAAACGGACCGTTTAATACGGTAACCGTATTTTTCATCCTTGGTCAAGAGCTGTGACTTCTCCTTTTCGGGACTTCAGGCAAACCTGGCTCGCTGCATGTTTCCCCTGTCCGTGCCTTCCCTCGTTCTTCTCCTTCCTCTCGCCTCATCCTCCCTCTACCCACCCATTCAGGTACCCCTGGCGCGTGTCAAGAGCTGTGATTTCTCCTTTTCGGGACTTCAGGCAAACTTGGCTCGCTGCATGTTTCCCCTGTCCGTGTCCCCCCTCATTCTTCTCCTCCCTCTCGTCTCCCTTTATTCTTGTTGCGTGTTTCCCCTGTCCGCGTCTCCCTTTATTCTTCTCCATTCCCCTCCCTTTAACCACACCCATTCAGGTGCCGCTAGCGCGTGTAAAGAGCTGTGATTTCTCATTTTCGGGTTTGAAAGCCAATGTGGCACGCTGCATACAAAAGGAAGCACCGTAAGTCAGGAAGAGGCAGAGGGCGAGGATATTATTTCCCGTACCTATCTTGCCGTACCTCTCATGCCATACCGAACCGAACCTTCCAGCCCCGCTGTGAATTTACGTGCCTCTCTTCCCGTACCTCTCTTGCCATACCTCACCTTTCATTCCTTCGCCAGACCTATCTGTCATGTATCTTATTCCGTACCTCTCTTGCCGAACCTGACTCCTCCTTCCTTCCCAGGGCAGCTCAAACCATCCCTATTGCCGAAGCAACACCGGAGGACCGGCAGTTACGAGCTGACATTGCTGCCTCTTTCCAGGTAACATCATTGTCCTTACACCCTTGACATTGCACCCGTTGTCACTGCACTCAACCCATCTGCTCTCTATCCAACCAACCCGACCCGATGTTTGAGGCGCCCCAAAAGGTAACACCCTTGTACTCAGCACCCCCATCTGCTCTCTATCCAGTTTTGAGGCGTCTCAAAACTCACTGCACTCTGACCCCTGCTCTGCGCTCTCTATCCAACCAACCAATCCGCCCCAAAACCGTATCCAGCCTTGTGCTTATGTTATCTTACCTTGGTTCCAACTTCGCAACTCCTTCCCATGCTTCTCCTTTTATTCGCATTCGGGAAGTGGCAGTGCTTTATATTCGATCTACAGTGCGGCGAGCGGATCGCTTGTGGGAATTCTCAAGAATCGCTTTTCTCCCCTCTCTCCATGCTTCTTCTCTCCCTTGGTTCAGTGAGCAGGAGATGCCGATGCTGCATCTGCAGTCGAGAGTGCAGCGAGCCATTCACGTGTGTGAGAGGGAGAGCCATTCACATGCCATTCGAGAAGTCTCACAAGTCGCCTCTCCCCCCCCTCTATTGCTTCCTCTTTCCCTTGGTTCGGTGAGCGAGCAGGAGGTGGCAGTGCTGCATCTGCAGTCGAGAGTGCAGCGAGCCATGAAGGGGTTTGTCTTGATTCTATTCGAACATCCATTCCCCTTCAAAAGTGGTGGCCCTTCTCCCCTGCTTCCCTTAATTCGGTGAGCAGGAGGTGGCAGTGCTGCATCTGCAATCTAGAGTACAGATAGCGATGCAGATAGCGGGAAAATCAACCCCTGCGATCGACACACTGGTGAGTGGGAGGGAGGAGTGTGAAAAATTACCGAAACGATGAATAACCCTCGTTTTTGTTTTACTCGGGGTAGAGTGAGGTTCATTTATTGCTCCCCTACCCACCCCCATCGTCATCCCTTCTCCGCCTACAGCCAATCGCTCTTTCCCCAACGATCCTTCACCCTTGTTCTCTCTCCCCAACGATCAGGTGATGGCAGGGGGAGTGGCGTCCAACCAAGTCGTCCGCATGCGGATAGCAGCAGTCTGCGAGCAGTTGGGGGTGAGTCTCGTGTGCCCTCCGCCCCGCCTCTCTCACTCCTCCCTTCTTGTGCGTTCTTCGCTCTTCCCTCCCACCTCCCCACCAATCAGGTGATGGCAGGGGGAGTGGCGTCCAACCAGGTTGTCCGCACGCGGATTGCAGCAGTCTGTGAGCAGTCGGGTTTGAGGCTCGTGTGCCCTCCGCCCCGCCTCTGCACCGATAATGGTGAGTTTGGAGGGAGGGAGAGGGGGGGAGAGAAGGAAGGGAGGCTTTTGTGTTGACTCAGAAGCAGTCGGGTTTCAGGCTCGTGTGCCCTCCACCCCGCCTCTGCACCGATAATGGTGAGTGGTGGTCTGTTGTTTTATTTCTCAAGGGTTCAGATTTGAGATTCTAAACAAAGCTTCTATGGCTGACGGTGGGTGGGGTATGGTTCAGATTTGAGATTCTAAACAAAGCTTCTATGGCTGACGGTGGGTGGGGTATGGTTCAGATTTGAGATTCTAAACAAAGCTTCTATGGCTGACGGTGGGTGGGGTATGGTTCAGATTTGAGATTCTAAACAAAGCTTCTATGGCTGACGGTGGGTGGGGTATGGTTCAGATTTGAGATTCTAAACAAAGCTTCTATGGCTGACGGTGGGTGGGGTATGGTTCAGATTTGAGATTCTAAACAAAGCTTCTATGGCTGACGGTGGGTGGGGTATGGTTCAGATTTGAGATTCTAAACAAAGCTTCTATGGCTGACGGTGGGTGGGGTATGGTTCAGATTTGAGATTCTAAACAAAGCTTCTATGGCTGACGGTGGGTGGGGTATGGTTCAGATTTGAGATTCTAAACAAAGCTTCTATGGCTGATGGTGGGTGGGGTATGGTTCAGATTTGAGATTCTAAACAAAGCTTCTATGGCTGATGGTGGGTGGGGTATGGTTCAGATTTGAGATTCTAAACAAAGCTTCTATGGCTGACGGTGGGTGGGGTATGGTTCAGATTTGAGATTCTAAACAAAGCTTCTATGGCTGACGGTGGGTGGGGTATGGTTCAGATTTGAGATTCTAAACAAAGCTTCTATGGCTGATGGTGGGTGGGGTATGGTTCAGATTTGAGATTCTAAACAAAGCTTCTATGGCTGACGGTGGGTGGGGTATGGTTCAGATTTGAGATTCTAAACAAAGCTTCTATGGCTGACGGTGGGTGGGGTATGGTTCAGATTTGAGATTCTAAACAAAGCTTCTATGGCTGATGGTGGGTGGGGTATGGTTCAGATTTGAGATTCTAAACAAAGCTTCTATGGCTGATGGTGGGTGGGGTATGGTTCAGATTTGAGATTCTAAACAAAGCTTCTACGGCTGACGGTGGGTGGGGTATGGTTCAGATTTGAGATTCTAAACAAAGCTTCTATGGCTGACGGTGGGTGGGGTATGGTTCAGATTTGAGATTCTAAACAAAGCTTCTATGGCTGATGGTGGGTGGGGTATGGTTCAGATTTGAGATTCTAAACAAAGCTTCTATGGCTGACGGTGGGTGGGGTATGGTTCAGATTTGAGATTCTAAACAAAGCTTCTATGGCTGACGGTGGGTGGGGTATGGTTCAGATTTGAGATTCTAAACAAAGCTTCTATGGCTGACGGTGGGTGGGGTATGGTTCAGATTTGAGATTCTAAACAAAGCTTCTATGGCTGACGGTGGGTGGGGTATGGTTCAGATTTGAGATTCTAAACAAAGCTTCTATGGCTGACGGTGGGTGGGGTATGGTTCAGATTTGAGATTCTAAACAAAGCTTCTATGGCTGACGGTGGGTGGGGTATGGTTCAGATTTGAGATTCTAAACAGAGCTTCTATGGCTGACGGTGGGTGGGGTATGGTTCAGATTTGAGATTCTAAACAAAGCTTCTATGGCTGACGGTGGGTGGGGTATGGTTCAGATTTGAGATTCTAAACAAAGCTTCTATGGCTGACGGTGGGTGGGGTATGGTTCAGATTTGAGATTCTAAACAAAGCTTCTATGGCTGACGGTGGGTGGGGTATGGTTCAGATTTGAGATTCTAAACAAAGCTTCTATGGCTGACGGTGGGTGGGGTATGGTTCAGATTTGAGATTCTAAACAAAGCTTCTACGGCTGACGGTGGGTGGGGTATGGTTCAGATTTGAGATTCTAAACAAAGCTTCTATGGCTGACGGTGGGTGGGGTATGGTTCAGATTTGAGATTCTAAACAAAGCTTCTATGGCTGATGGTGGGTGGGGTATGGTTCAGATTTGAGATTCTAAACAAAGCTTCTATGGCTGACGGTGGGTGGGGTATGGTTCAGATTTGAGATTCTAAACAAAGCTTCTATGGCTGACGGTGGGTGGGGTATGGTTCAGATTTGAGATTCTAAACAAAGCTTCTATGGCTGACGGTGGGTGGGGTATGGTTCAGATTTGAGATTCTAAACAAAGCTTCTATTGCTGACGGTGGGTGGGGTATGGTTCAGATTTGAGATTCTAAACAAAGCTTCTATGGCTGACGGTGGGTGGGGTATGGTTCAGATTTGAGATTCTAAACAAAGCTTCTATGGCTGACGGTGGGTGGGGTATGGTTCAGATTTGAGATTCTAAACAGAGCTTCTATGGCTGACGGTGGGTGGGGTATGGTTCAGATTTGAGATTCTAAACAAAGCTTCTATGGCTGACGGTGGGTGGGGTATGGTTCAGATTTGAGATTCTAAACAAAGCTTCTATGGCTGACGGTGGGTGGGGTATGGTTCAGATTTGAGATTCTAAACAAAGCTTCTATGGCTGACGGTGGGTGGGGTATGGTTCAGATTTGAGATTCTAAACAAAGCTTCTATGGCTGACGGTGGGTGGGGTATGGTTCAGATTTGAGATTCTAAACAAAGCTTCTATGGCTGACGGTGGGTGGGGTATGGTTCAGATTTGAGATTCTAAACAAAGCTTCTATGGCTGATGGTGGGTGGGGTATGGTTCAGATTTGAGATTCTAAACAAAGCTTCTATGGCTGACGGTGGGTGGGGTATGGTTCAGATTTGAGATTCTAAACAAAGCTTCTATGGCTGACGGTGGGTGGGGTATGGTTCAGATTTGAGATTCTAAACAAAGCTTCTATGGCTGACGGTGGGTGGGGTATGGTTCAGATTTGAGATTCTAAACAAAGCTTCTATGGCTGATGGTGGGTGGGGTATGGTTCAGATTTGAGATTCTAAACAAAGCTTCTATGGCTGACGGTGGGTGGGGTATGGTTCAGATTTGAGATTCTAAACAAAGCTTCTATGGCTGATGGTGGGTGGGGTATGGTTCAGATTTGAGATTCTAAACAAAGCTTCTATGGCTGACGGTGGGTGGGGTATGGTTCAGATTTGAGATTCCAAACAAAGCTTCTATGGCTGATGGTGGGTGGGGTATGGTTCAGATTTGAGATTCTAAACAAAGCTTCTATGGCTGATGGTGGGTGGGGTATGGTTCAGATTTGAGATTCTAAACAAAGCTTCTATGGCTGACGGTGTGTGGGGTATGGTTCAGATTTGAGATTCTAAACAAAGCTTCTATGGCTGATGGTGGGTGGGGTATGGTTCAGATTTGAGATTCTAAACAAAGCTTCTATGGCTGACGGTGGGTGGGGTATGGTTCAGATTTGAGATTCTAAACAAAGCTTCTATGGCTGACGGTGGGTGGGGTATGGTTCAGATTTGAACATTGCCGACGCACTGACCCGCCCCACTGCCCAAATCCACGCCATACTACTCGCCCAGACCAGCCCGCTACTAACAGTACTAATTACCCACGGCTATCAAACCGACCCGTTCTTCACAGGTGGAAATTCGCAGCTGTTCGCAGTAGCAAAGGGGGTTTATTACGTAAAAGCTGGCACTGACCGCATATGGGTACCAGGCTACACTTTACTAAGGGAGCTATTACTACAGGAGGCACAAGACGGGTTACCTCAAGACATTTCGGAGCAGAAAAAACACGGCAGCAGCTGCAGCGGTATTACTACTGGCCCGAAATGCTGACCGACGTGCAACGACACGTGGCATCGTATCCCACATGCCAACTCATGAAGTCATCACGGAAACGACCGGCAAGGCAGTTGCAGCCAATACCACCCCCAAAGCGTGCGTGGCAGCAGGTGACGATGGACTTCGTCACGGGGTTACCGGCTGGAGCAAGTGGGAACGACGCGATTCCTGGTCGTCGTCGATCGGCTGACGAAAATGGCACATTTCGCAGCCTGCAAAATATCAATCACAGCCAAAGAAACGGCATGCATCTTCATCTCCACCGTCGTTCGACAACACGGGATACCAGCATCGATCATCAGCGACCGCGATACGAAGTGTGAGAAAGATAGACGAAAGAATGAATGAACTAGAAATGAGATGGGTACAAATAGGAAACACATAAGTGTTATACCCTCTAAGAGCTACCCCACTACAGCCTAAATAGACCATAGCAGATATAAGTTTGACACACTCCCATAGGCAAAGTGGGGGAGAACAAGAGGTCACAAGACCAGTCAAGAAAAGCAAAGCAAGCTCAGGGTGGATCACAAAGTCACCACACAGTCTGAGCACAAGCAAAGGACCATAAGGCCAATTCACACGCAGAGTTATATAAAGGAAAGCAAACAGTACAGTGAATACAACCTAGCAAGTGTAAGCATGCAGGTATAAGTATATAGAGTACAGTACAAGCAGAGTCAAGAAGTCAACAAGTGAGGCACAGTAGGTACAAGGCCTAACACAGTACAGAAACGCTGATGATCACAAGGCTGAAGTGCCTTGGTGAAAACATCAGCAGTGTTGGCCTGAGAGGCAACGTAAGCAAGACGAAGCTGGCCACGCTGCTGCAACTCTCGAGCAAGGAAGTAGCGCAGAGCAATGTGCTTCGTTCTGTGCTCCAGTCTGTGCTCCTGACACAAGGCCAGCATGGCCTTGTTGTCGACGTACAGAACTGGAGGAGAACGAGGCGCCTCTCCCAAGTCGGTCAGCAGGTAGGTGAGCCAGCGAAGCTCCTGTGCAGCCATGGCCCCAGCGTAGATCTCAGTCTCACAACTGGAGCTGAGAACAGAAGAAGAGCGGGTAGACCGTCAGGAGACAGAGCCGGAGCCAAGACTGAAGGTGTAACCCTGTGACGACCGCTGCGTAGCCAAGTCGTCAACCCAGGAGGCGTCAGCGTGACCAGTGAGGACAACTCGAGCCCGTCCTCCAAGCACGAGCCCCATGCCCGATGTACTGCACAAGTATCGCAACACCCTCTTCGCAGCATCCCAGTGCACCTTTCGGTGC